CAAAGCCCATAATTAAGATCACTATTCTTGCTAGCCCAAAAAGAGTACCCGTTTGGCTTTAGACATTGCAGCCCACTAATGTCTGTATAGTCAATTTTGATACTGAAGATATATTTTGATTAAATGATTGAGGTTTGTGTTGTGATGAGCATATTTAACACATAAGTCTATACGTAAATGAGCCTTAATTAATATGGGCTGTTACATTGTTTGGTTCTTGGTCACCAACTTAACTGCTTATTTTGATACTTGGAGATTGTTACAACCAAATAATGAAAATGAGGTTTGAACATATCCCATGATTATTGAACAAATTGTACTTCAATTCTAAGACCTAACTAATTAGATTATCAATTCTGGTACATGAACATGAGAGAATCTTGCATCTTTGTCTATTTGATGCCAGTAATTAAATTAATGTGAAAAATAATAAAATAAATAATCATATTAGATGTTACTATTTAGATTGGATGGTTTAAATTTCGTCATCAATACTCAACAGTCACCATCTAAATAATTGTTACAGTTTGAAAAATCACTTGCTTAAACAAGTGTGATTCTTTGTTGGCAGTTTTGTTAGTCCACATGTGCGTGTGGATTATGTAATGCTGGGCACTACAATATTGCTAATATTGTTCCTTTTTTCTTTTCTTTTTTTTAATTAATAAGAGAACTTAAAAAAAAAAAAAAAAAAAAAAAAAAAAAAAAAAAAATTGTGACTCTTTATTAACTTGAGTAAAGTAAGCAACTCAGTGTGCTAAATTTTTTACTACCAGATGAAAAACATTCATCATGCATCACAATCAACCTTACACAAAACTTTTAACATTGTCTTTTATTTGAACTAGTAATATCGTCGTTGTAGTTGGACTATTATACTTACTTATTCATCATAGCAACAGAAAGACACGATCGAAACAAGGAGCGGAGATACCATTTGTCAAGTTGAACGAGCACTTGTTATTCGATTCAAAAATTTAAACCGGCAAGTGGTGCTCCTTACTCACACTTAGGGATGGTAATTTGACCCGCCCCATCATGCCCCGTTTTTTTCGATTATTAGGGATCGTTTAACTTATTTGGACGGGAATGGTTTGATGTAATAAAAACTTGCGCTGATTTGGTGCGAGAGCGGGATGAGGTCACCCCGCACCGCCCCGCCCCGTTTAAATAGACAAATTACTTAAATACTTTTATTTTATTAGTATATATATTTCCCAGTATATATATTAAATACCCTATATAATAATATTAAAGTAACAAATAAATTTGATTAAAAGGAAAGTTACAATAGTGAATAACTAAAGATGAGGGAGAAAAAAATAGCAAATCTATTTTAACAATAAATAAATTATGGTCTTAAACGGGGCAGGGCGGGGCGTGTACTCGCGGGGTAAAAATGTTAAACGGTTACGGGAATGGGATGGAAAGTCCTCCCGTTTTTGCAGTTTTGGGCAAGAATGGGGGCAGAGTTTTTAAACGGTTACGAGAGCGGGGGGGATACACTCGCCCAAACCCGCCCCGGTTGCCATCCCTACTCACACTCTTATGAATTCAAGTCCTCCTTGTTCGGATCTAATGCAAGACAAAAGCTTTAATCACCATGGTGGTTTAAGTTTTCTCACTTTGATTTTCCTTTTCTAACAAGAGATTTTTTTATTTTTTATATGTTACTTTGTTTTTTCTCCCTCTAAATATATATGTATATATATATTTAGAATACATATATCAATTCTATAACACACATATTATTTAACTTTGAAGTGCGATTAAAATAGGAGAGCTCAAAATTTACCTTTCAAATCTTTATGAACACCCCTATATCCTTGGGCCCTCTAAATAGTGTTAAGTAATGAATTTTAGCGCATGTTTATTCCATATTGTCCTACAAAGTACTGATTATTTTGACAGGGACATAAGTTCTATACCGGATAGTAAAATATGTCCAAACTAGTTTGATTGATGGATGATACATGTAATGAAAGCAAACCAGCACAATTAAAGGACATGAAATATGCCATAGTATATAGGGCATGGCCCTTTGTGGGCCATCCTCTGGAGGGTAGGATTGTTGCATTTAGTTGTCTCCTCAGAAAAGAGGTGTGGGAACTTCTTTCCAATGAAATGATTGAAGGGCAATGGTGACTTTGGAAGGAAACAACTTTGTTAAGAAGAATCATTACTCATGAGTTGTCAATTGAGGTAAGCCAACCTTATCAATTATGCATGAAATCTCCGACACTGATCATTATATATATATATATATATATATATATATACACCAATTCCTTATTTTTATTTTCTATTTTTTTATTAAAAAAATAAAAACAACTAACTTCTACCAAACCAATGACACTGGACCAGATGCCAACCAAGACTGGTGCTAGTTTATTATTTGAAATGAGAGTGTACTCGCTCACACTCAACTGTATATGTGACTCACCTTCATTTTTCAAACACATGTCAATTAATTTCAAAAAGAAAAAAAAAAAAAAATACAATTAATGGTAGCCAAAAAAAAAAAAAAAAAAAAAGAGTCAAACAATAAATGTGTTTCATGAAGCACCCCTCCAATCTTGTTCGATATTTGAGTTTTGGTCAAATTCTAGTCTAAACTAATGATTTATTACAAAATCATATCAAATGTCATAGTACAAGTTCATCCTGACCTTTCCCTCTCATATTTAACCTGGCCTAATCAAGACCTGGCCTATGTTATATGGATTGGGTATGTATCAGATACTAATTCCCGCGTCATAAATGTTAAATCGATTCTAACATAAGGGCACGTAGCACTGTAAAATGTTCATATTATTTAGTATTGTTTTAGAAAGCCACCCCATTTGACCCAAGGTTTTGGCCATTTTTGTTTTATTTTCTTCAATAAAATAATATTTTTACTTAATATAGTATCTAATATGGGAAAAGTGCAAAAAATATATTCCGCGTATCACTTTTATTTCCAATTTAAAAAAATTTACAAAAAACACTTCTAATATTTTTACATTGTGCAAAAATAACCCTTAATCAGAAATATGACATAAATTTGTGATGTAATACCTGTTTTGCCTTTTTACTTTTTCAAATGACCAAAGGGGTAAATATGTAATTAATCTCATAGTATAGGAGTGTTATGTGTATATTACTTTTTTTTTAAAAAAAAAAAAAAAAAAAAAACTTTTTTCTCTATATATACCTTTTTTTAATAAAAAAAAAAACTTTGAAAATTTGTGAATTTTTTGAGATTTCAGTTTACTATTTTTTACTAATTTTTTTTTTCTTTATTTTATTTATGTTTCATACTAACATTGTTAAACAAAAAATATATATATCAATGTGCATATGGTTTTCGGAGTTTAGAGCAAATTTGTTTTATTTAATTTGTACTTTATTTTTATTTTTTATTTTTTATTTTTTATTTTTATCTTTATTTTTATCTTTATTTTTCTTTTATACTTTTATTTTTTTTATTTTTTATTTTTGTCTATTGTCAGCGTCCTCCAATAGTGTCATTTTCTGTTATTTTACATATTTATTTGTTTTTATATATTTTATAAAATGGTTCAATAAAGTAATTTAGTCAACTTATGGTTTAAATTTGTCAGATGGACCTATTTGTACCAAATTGAAACTTTAGTGATATTTTTTGCACAGGGACATCCTCCAATAATGTCATTTTTTGTTATTTTACAAAATTATTTATTTTAATATATTTTTTAAAATGGTTTAGTAAAGGTAATTTAGTCAATTTAGGGTTGAAATTTATCAGATAGACATATTTGCACCAAATTAAAACTTTATGAGTATTTTTTTGCTCGTGAAAGTGTGATACGTGCTCTAAGCATATTTTGAAAGTATTTTTTGTACTTAATCCTATTTAATATAAACATCTACTCGTTTTGAAGCAATATGATAATAAGAAGATACATATGTATGAGAGACACATATTTTCTATCCATGTCCGAATATTGTGAATCCAGAAGAAATACTTTTTGAAAAAAAAAAAAGAAAAGAAAAGAAAAGAAGATATACTTTAAAGTTTAATTGATGATATTTTTAAGCACGTACTTGTTTGTGTTTTCTCACACAAACCATAGGAAATTTGTGGACCTAATAATATCCAATCTAGAATATATTAGTTTTAGATGAAAAGCTAGCCCATCCAATTTAGGATGTGATTATGATTTTTTGAAATAAGTTAAGTTACCTGTTTTTTAGGGTATTTACTAAATGGGGGATTTGATAATGTGGTCCCAATCTCCTGTATACGCGTGCGCATACCCAATTTAGGGGTGTTAATTATCATTTGTAAGCCCGAGATCTCTACCCGCACATGTTATGTTTACGGTATTTGTGAATTACAGATTTTATGCCAATAGATCGATTGGTTGTGGAGTTTGACGCGTTGAATAAAAATCTTGTCGATAGTACAAATTATGTTCTGGTTGTGTGTTGATTAGGATATTAAGGTCCACCAAAATTTTGCAACAAGGAAACACCGAATCATAACCCTGCATGAACATCATACTGTCAATCCTTCACATTACATGAAAACATACATATCATTCATACACCCATATACGCATAGTATATGATAATATGACACGACTGCATGAGTTGTGCTAGCCACTCCAATGAGTAAATTTCCTTTGTTCACAGTTAATTGTTATTGGTTATTTATTTGGACTACTAATTGGTAAAAATAGAAGAAAAAACAAAGAAGCAACTGGAATTATTAATTAATTTCACACACACACACACATATATATATATATATATGAGGGAAAAGTGGATACATCATGAGATAAGTCATCAGAATGTGTGGGGGCACTTGAGAACTCCAACCTACTCCATTTGAATACCCACTACTTGTAATTAAAATATAAAATAATACAGTAATAATAAAATTATAAAATAATGGTGTGACATACATATAACCTCCCTTAAAAAAAAGAAAGAATAAGTGCTAGAATTAAAGTTAGTACTAATATTTATGTAAAGTAGACAACCCACTTTTTGACCCAAACATCAAAACTACAAGAAAATTCCATCAATAAACAATACACCATCAAAAGCCTTAGATTGGTTTCTTATCATATCATATCACATACCAAACAAAAGTCATCCACTACCACTACCACCACCACAACCCCCCTTACCAACACCACTGCAACTCATAAACCACCAATGGAAGAAAAAGAGAAGAAGAACAAGAACAAGAAGCAAAAACACCAGCACCCAAATGATCAAACCACAAAACCCACATCGGATTTTGCATTCAAGCCCACCTCCGACGTCAAGGGTCTCCGGTTCGGCGGCCAATTCATAGTAAAATCGTTCACAATCCGGCGAGCTCGGCCGCTCGAGCTCCTAAACCTCCTCTCTCTCCCACCATGCAACACCAAAGAGATATCCAAGCCCAGCACAAAGCTACCATTTCCTTCCACAACGGCATTTTTGCCTACAAACTTCACAATATTGGCTCACCATGCATGGCACACACTCACACTAGGCCTCGGAACAAAGAAGTCTAAGGTGCTTCTATTCGTTTTCGAGTCGGAGAACATGAAGGTGGCGGTGGAGAGGGCGTGGCCGGCGGAGATACCTCTAGGGGAGGTGAACAAGAAGCTGATAAGGGGGATGACCGGATGTGAGATGGCGCGGTTTAAGTTCAGGAAAGGGTGCATCACATTTTATGTTTATGCAGTGAGGAGAGTTGGGAGTTTAGGGTTTTCATGTGCTGATGATTTGAGGACTGTTTTGCAGACTGTGGTTGCACTCAAAGATTTCTTGGATCACACTGCTATGCTTGCCATGCCTAACCAGAGAAGCATCAGTTATGCACCTCCTGTGGCCATGGCTCATTAGGGCTTTTTAATTTCTCTCTTTTTTTTTACTTAACACCATCATTGTTCATCATCGTCTTCTTCTTTAATTCCTCTCTCCCAAGAATTATTAATCTCTTCTCTCTTTCTGTTTCTCTTTTTCTTGACTTCTCTCAAATATTTTATTTTTTTGATGGGGGTAATTTTTTTTTGGGAGATCTTGTTTTTCTTTTTTAATACCTGTTCAATGTAATTTAGCTGAATAAATTGAAGGTTTTGACAGTGAATCCATGACTTTATATATATATATATATATATATATATATATATATATATATTTTGGGCTTTGTATGTTGATTGTCTTTGTATTATTGTATATATATTATTTGCATCAACACATGATTATTTGGGAAAGGCAAGTAACATATACAAAATTAACCTGAGAAAATGCCAATACTGTTATATCCTTATCACAAAGGGACTTCCTCTTCTTTGAATTGTTGTGAATTGATTACATTCTTAACCTTTTTAGGACTTTGGAAGTATTGATATATATATATTTTTAAATTATACTATCCATCCAGTGTTGTTGGAATTTAATTAAAAAAAAAAAAAAAAAATCCTTATGGTTATTAAAAAATCTATTGTCAAAACCTACTTTGATGTAGAGTAACAATTATTGTAAGTGCTTTGATCATAGATTCAGAGATGTCCATACAGGACAATAAATAACAATAAAAAGACCCATGCTATTTCATTATCTTGTAATTTCCTTATGCCAATTGCAAACACTCTTGTTTGAACTCCAAATCATTCTCATAAGTATCATACTAAATCCCATCAATTGAATTACTTTTTCAAGAACTACGAGACATCTAAGTCATACAAGTAAAGAGATCTATTCATTGATAAGACGGGAATTGGATGGATGATAAAATAGAATCTGGGTTGCGAACAGTGATTCAATTGATGATGATCGATTGATGATGAAAAAAAGAGAATTCTTGGTTCAGCTCCCCACTTTAACGACAGAAAAAAAGTATTACAAATAATCGCAATTATGTGATTATCCAATTCCATCAATTGATGAGATGACTCTCAACCAAGATTATTCTATCACACACATAAATCTACTATCACACAGCAGTTTTTACAGTAAATCGCACTGTATATGGCAAAAAACTTACTCAACATTGTCACTCAACTAAAGGAGAGACGTCCGAAGTTCTAAACAATTGAAAATTTTGTTTGGCAGATTGTCAGACAATAGACACTGTTTTTTCGTGACTTGAGCTGAGATCTCACCCGTGAAACCCAAATGTCCAAGCACCCAAAATATAAAAAACACTATTTTTCTGCAGATCTATATAACAATGTTTTCTGCAACTAGAAAAAGTTACTACAAACTTACAAAGTTTCTCGAAAAGTCAAAAGTTCAGGACTTGAACAATATAAATATATAGTATTAATTATTTATGAAATTGGTTGTATGTGTATGGAATAATAGATATATATATATATATACACACTCTGGTTTTAGGTTCATGACAGATATTACGTGCCCTACTAGATATCCTCCTACCTTATTGATTGTAATCCATCCAATGGTGATTGCTGTTGTGTGGTATTGGACTTGTTTTATATATATTACTCCGTATATGATATAGATCACCCAGTACTGGGACCCACCATCTAGATTCTAATCCAATGGACAATATAGTTTTGCCTTTTGTGTGGTGTTGGAGTGCATGGACATGGTTGTGCCCTATTCAATATGTCGGTTATTAGTTGCATTATGCATGGAAGAGAGAGACTGAACAGTTGAGATTGTGGGATGAATGATGGCATGCATGCATGCATGGATGGAAGGGGAGTAGATATTTGGTATGTTCGGTGCTCGGTTAATCTGAATCGTATGTCCACAATATGTGCATTAACAGGGTGCACTGTACGCTAAAAGCACTGAATATTTATTGATGGATGGGTGGATGTGATGATGATGGATGAGAAAAAAAGCTGAAGGACATTATGGAAGGCATAAAAAGGGAGTTTTAGGTGAACTGTGAAATGACCAAACCCATCCCACCACTAGAGACTTGAGAAGCTTTATGGTCTACCAAAGTGAGGGAAAAGGAGAACAACCTTCTTTTTCTAATTCCCCCTATCTTTGGCTTTAATCATGCCATGAGAAGGTCCCATCCCCAACTACCTTTTTTCACATGAATCATCAACTTCACACATTTCTCTGCTTTTGCTTTAATAAATGGACTTTGAATGTGCTTGTCTATGAGGTGGTGGGCAAGCCCTATGTGCCCATTGATGTGTGTTTGCTATCTCATCATTTCCTCAACCAGTTTTCCATTAATTGTACAATTTGGATAATGATTTTCAAACCTTGACCGGAAACTCGTGAGTGATATAAGTTGATAAGAAATTTTTAATTTATCAGTTAGAGTTGTTTTAGGTTTAAATAGTATTATCGGTAAATTTTTCTTTTAAGTCGAGACGCCTAATTCCCGATTGTGAGAGGGTAGTGTGGGTTTCTCACTGCTCACTCCCTCTCGTTGTCGAAAATTAAATGTCAGACATCCTACCATTTTTTAAGGAGAATATTTGTTATAAGGTTGAAGTTAGCATCAAATGCCATTACTAGGGATTCTTTGTATCTCTTTTCCTAGTCATGTGGCAAATTTCATCAAATGAGGTATTATAAGCTATTGATTTAAGCTTTGACAGCAATTGTACGTGTTTTGGGCCATATCAATCTTTGTACGTAACTGTGATTTACAAGATCATTTCTAAGACTTTTAGTTAATTGATTGAAGCAAATTATGAGCGATCTTATTTTTCCATATCAAAATGGTATTATATGTGAAGCTTTATATGCGGCTCTAGTCCTAACATCCCGACTTTAGCACTCAATACATCCCCCAATTTTGCACTTTTTCTTTGGTGATGATACCTTTCTTTTTTCTATATTTATTTTTATTCTAGTCAAACTATTTGGGGATTCTTAACTTGTATTACTCTTACTCCTAAGTAAGTCCTCTCTCAAGGTCATTATGGATATATGCCACTTATATATATATATATATATATATATATATATATATATATATTGTCTGGATTGGTTGGTATTTGAGGTGAAAAGAACATGGTGGTTAAGAAAAAAGAAGTCCATTTCTTAGGATTTGGTGGAGAGAATCCATCATATTAAGGTTGGAATAGGCTTCTTCTTTACATAACGAGCAAAATGTATTAAGTGATTCGACTCAACTTCTCTCATCAATAAAAACTTTAACAAAGAAAATTACTATGGTGAAAATTGAACTCAAAAAAAAAGTTTAAATGTTAAAATTTTGAGTCTCAAAATTGTACGTATTCGGTTACATTTATGTGAATATAAGATGACGTCATTATTTTTTTCTTTCTCATTTTTTCTTTTCTTTTTATCACTTTCGAATCCTTGACTTAGAGTATGAGAGTGAAGACCCAAATCTACTATGACAAAGGTAAATCCAGGGGCGGCTCAATGTTATTTGAGGCCTTAGGCGAAAAAAATAAAGTGGCCTTTTAATTAAATCTACCCATATATTTATGTCAGTATTATGATAATTATTTGTTTTGTGATTTCTAAACTAAATTTTTTCCAAACTCTAGTCCTATTGTTAATTAATTAGCCATGTGCTTTTTAAAAGTCATATTTAACAATATAAATAAAAATTATAAACAAAATATATATAATTTTATGATAACTAAAATTAATAAAACTATAAACTAATTTAAGTTATAGAATAATATAAACTGATTTCGAATGATTTGGTATAATACTCCAATAAATTCTTTAATAGAATATAAGTGTATTCAAAATCTTATTACAGAGTGAGATTGTAAATTGTAACAGTGGAGAAGATGAAAAAAAAAAAAAAAATTATAATGAGAGAAGAGAAAAAATATATAAGGAGTAAGAAAAAAAGAGAAAATAAAAGTTAATAGGTGTCTTAGAAAAAATATAGAAAGTTTCACCAATTTTCACTTAAATATATATTTAATATTTAGTGTGTGTATATATGCTGATGTAATGAGGGTGAGAGAGAGCCAAAAAAAAAAAAAAAATTATAATAATACAAAGATAGAAATATTTTGGGCACACTTTGTATTTGTTGAGGTTTAACAATATAAGAAAATAAAATATTTAGGTAAGTTATAATATATAAAAAAAAAAAAATTTGGGGGCCCCTCAAAAAAAGTATAAAGAATAGAAATTTTTTAGATCAACTGTCAAATTTCTTTATACGTTAAAGTTTAATAATTAAAGGAAATACTATAATTGTTTTAGAAAAGTTATAATATATAAAGAAACAAAAAATTATGAAGCCTTCTTATTGGATGGAGCCTTAGGCAATCGCCTAACTCGCCTACGGCTCCAGCCGCCGTCAATAGAAATGATAATGTCATCTCCACTTACAGTTAAAAAATAATAATAATGTGTGAAACTACTTATCATTTTCCTAAAATTTGAAGTGCTAAATTGAAAATATTTAGGTTTGTGTTAATTAAAAGTGATCCTATCTTAAATTTTACCTTATTTTATGTGGCATTTTATGCTTTTAAATGATATATCTAGATTATGTTATTAAATGCACATTTATTCAGAAATTAGTGCCAAATTGAGTCATAAACCAACTTGGGCCCTGTTTTGGGATCAAAATTCTGCACAACATTGTAATATCTAAACGGGCTTGGCCTTAGGCCTATATACAAATGAATTGGGCTGTAACGGAAACAAAGACATTTAAATGGGAAGGAGATCATAAATGGGCCTCACATGGTTCGACCCAGAACCACATAATGGACCCACACAACAATCTTTAATCCAAATGATATAAAAGCCCATAATCCATATACAACTTTGATAGTATTTTATTACTCCGTACATTTTAGTTCTTCAATCAACAATTGATGAAGTGTTTAGCAAAGACGAACTAAAATCAGAGCCTATAATGGGGTGGCTATGGCCGATCGTTGACTTCTTTGTCATTGTAGTTCTGGTTTTGGTTTTAGGGTTAGGTTCTGCGATTGTATTCGAATCATTCAGAAGAAGATTCAATCATGCGTAAGTTCTTGTCAAAAACCCTAATATATATGTGTGTGAAATATATTCTTTTCTTTCTCGGTCTCGTTTTGAATGCATTCTATTTTAATTCTTTTTTACAGTCATCTTGAAGCTCATCCAATATTCGAGGATCCAAAATCATTGAAACAGGTATATTTAGTACTTTAATCAGTAAAATTAAACATTTATATAAGTGTTGTTTAAGTATACATTTATGTTAGTGAACTTCCACAACAACAAAAAAAAAACATTTATCTTCTCAATTTACGTATGAAGTAATTTACATCAATGTACGTTCAATATGCATCACAACTAATCAACATTTTTTAAAAATGTAATTTTTGACATATAAACTTAGAGGATCAAAGTAAATCAATGCACACAAATCCTTTCGACATGCATATGCATTAACTAATCAAGTACTTTGAAATGTGAAACAATAAAAATGATAATCATGTAAATTTTAAACATATATTATGTCATCATAATAATTAAGAACAAGCACTACATGCAATTAATGTAAGTAGTCAACATAAACTCATGAATTCCAACAAATATACCCAAAAATTAAACAATATGATGATGATGTGATGCAGGGTATGTAAATTCACAGTCATTTAGAAAAAAGAAAAGAAAAGAAAAGAAAAGAACATGACTGTATCATTATATGTGTCATTGTCATCATCCTTTCCTTAATCCCATATGAATTGCCCACCACATGAATCAACAGGTGCAAACAGTAGGCTTGAGCTGAGCTGAGATGTCAATGGTCTAGTGTCGAATTAGTTATAGTGCATTGCCTGAGATTAATCATGAAGGTTAAAAAGGTGTGTGAGGGGGTGGAGATAATCAAAGAGTGTAGAATCATTGCACCAATTAAAGTGCTACTAAAGAACCCAGTATGAAAAATTAAAGCTTCAGTAGCTGCACTTACTTGAGAAACTGTTAAAATTTGGAACCTGTAGCTTGTCACAGTTTGCCAATGTTGCAAGGTCAAGTTATTATACTGCAGAATAGCTGACCTTTTCTTTTGGTGGGTTGAGTAGCTGACTTGTTAGTTACTTCTTGCATAAAAAATGCTCAAGTATATCACTTATCAAAAAAAAAAAAAAAAGCTCAAGTATATCACATGTAGTTGCACACAATTGGGAAACCTCATCTTGTGCGAGCTTTTGAGCGGCTGGAAGTACACATTGCTATAGCATACTTTGTTTTACATTCTCGTATTGCTTTATAATTATTTCTCTTAGTTATAGAATACTGTTGGAGCTAGTGTTCTGTATGATTACACCTCTATCTCGTTAGAAAGTTCTTTTGAAGGCCAATCTCCCTCAGGAGTATAGGTTGTCTTCATCTGTAAAGTTGGATAACAGTTTGTGGATCCCATTTTCTTTATTTTCTGTAGTTTATCATAGAATGATTGGTGAAAGTAATTTCTGGATTTATTTTTGGGTGAATTTAAACCTTCTGCACAATGCGTACGTGTGAAGCAATCTTTTTAGGCAATATGTGAACTTCAAGATGAAAAGGAGAAATAGCAATATAAGCAATATCACTTCAATTATTTTGAGTAGTTAATATATGTAGATAGATAGATGTTAAGAAAAATGAAATTGAAGACAGAAATTGAATATGAATGACACAAGAATATAACGTGGTTCGGCCACCTGGGCCTATATCCACGGGACACAAAGCCTAAAGGGCTACTTATCTTTCATTATATTTTGTTTACAATGATCACCTCTATTTATAGGTGAAAGAACACAAACATGTGATAAATATGAAAAATATATTGATGGAAAGATTCCTAAAACCAATCTGATGAATCACACTTATCAATATTCAATCAAGGGCTTATTAAATGGCTCCTATAGTTATATTCTCCAACAATAGATATATTTGATTAGTAGTAAACTTTACATACTTTATTGTATAAGTTGGTATTTGGTATTTATTTATTTTTTAAAGAAAGAAAGAAAAATTGGGGGTGGGGACTGGTGTTCAGCTGTTTATTAGCAAAAGTCTTGATATTAATCAACTCTGCTGTAGGCACTCGTGTCAGGTTTCATGTCCTTACATATTTGATCCATAAGCATTCTGTAAGCGATATAACTCAATTTATTTGAGTAATTGTATATATTTAGATAGATATTTTTGATAAGCTAACTTTATATATTTTATTGTGTAAAGTTGATTTTGTTTTTAATTTAAAAAAAAAAAAAAAAGGAAAAAAAAATTCTGATAATTGGTAGTACTTGTTAGCAAATTCTTGATATTTATTAACTGGTGGAGGCATTTGTGTCAGGTTCCATGTCCTTACATCTTTGATCCTGCCGAGAAGTACATATCTCTGATTATTCCTGCATTCAATGAAGAGCATAGGCTTCCTGGAGCTCTTGATGAAACCATGAAGTAAGTTGAGGCAGAGACATTCGGCCATGTCTAATTACTCAAAAGAATTTAAAAAAGAAGACTGTTACATGTCTATTAATTTTCATATTTATCATTATCACTGCTAAAGCTTCATGTTTTCTCAGCATTTCACTATTCTTTCTACATCTTCCCCCACCCCAATTTTAAATATTGATGCTATATATCATTTGGTAATGTCATTTCTTATGTACCTGCAATTAAGACAGCAGCTGCAATTTCAAATATAAATGTTTATGTTGTACAGTCCATGTGCTGTCATCATTAATGTCAAATAAATTGATATCTTATACTGATTTTGTATAACATAATTTTGACCTAGCAAAAATTGTCAACATTCTGAATGATGATCTAATTCATACTGAAGAGAACAATCATTCTTGATAGCGCACACACTAACATATATATACATATATATATTTCTAATGGTTAACCAAGATGCAAACACAGTTTTGATTAAATGGGCAACACAACAATTTTGATAAATGCGAAGCATTTTAGATTTTCTTTTGGGGATAAGTAAAAAATATCATTAAAGAGTGCCAGAAGGAGCCTTAACCTAGACACTCATATAGAAAAGCAACATCAACAAGGGAGCAAGAAACCCATCTAGTGTACATGTCACTTATGAATTCAGCAAAGGAGAATGCCTCCCTAAACTGACAGAAACACAGAATTAAACATCACGTGTCTCAAATTATGGACCCGAAGCTCCTAGTGTTCCATGTTGTCCTCTATTATTCCTTCCAGGCACTCTTATCAGAGGCATTGGTTTATTGTATCCGCTCCGGCTTAGCTCTTTTACTGACCCTACCCCAGCCTGTTGGGACTCCCATATAACTGGGTCCAGTATGTTTGCCGGTAGCTTCACTAATTGATTTCCAGCATCTCGAGTACTTAGTTTTCCGTCACACATTGAATTATAAATGTGCTTAGCTCTTTCATAGACCCTACCCCAGCTTGATTTTGCAGCATCTCGAGCACTGAGTTTGTCATCACACATTGAACTGCAAACAGGGCTTAGCTGTTTCACAGACCCTACTAGGCCTGAGTTTTGAGCACCGGAGTACTGAATTTGTCGGACTGATGATAACTCGCTAGCTACGGGATTCTACACCAAGGGATGATCTACTATTTAACTTACTCTCTTGCACTTTGAATAACAACTGGGGATATGTTTTCCCCATCTCACCAAATTGTGAAGAGCTAATCCTCAAAGCACATGCTAGAAGGGCTACTTTGCGGGTGCATTTTGCAAGGGGAATAAGCGATACCACTACCACATGTTCTTCTCCAAATGCCTTGCAAAATTTTTTTACCTCAAAACCTACCATTCCTTGATGCCCTTCACCTTGGAGAATCCTCCTCCCTGTCACCGATGATGGTGAAACCATACATCAGCTTAAAAAAAAACAAAGAAAACATTCAAAATCTGTAAATTCCAACCTGCAGTGCCCTGCTGAACTGAATATCCCAAAACACACCACAATCTGAGATATTAACACACTCTAATAAAGGTCTCCTTATTTACTTTAATCCATATTCGTCCGGGAACACTTGCTTAAGAGCAACCGCTTCTCACAAATATCATGCAAGAAACTTGCTCTGTGCTCTGCCCACCTCCAATCACACGATTCACACCTAATATGTTAGAACTCTCACATCCGTTTGTAATACCTCCCCGCAACCTCACCCCTTGAAAACACCTCACCTCTAGTAAAATTCCCCACTCTCCCTGCCCTCCGACTTGCTTTCCTAAATTTTACTTCCACTCACAAGGAGTCACTGTTTCTAAAAAACCGCAGCCTTGATTGATAAGCTAAACTTCCTAATACCTTTCACCTTCAATAATCAAAAGTCAAAAATGTACATGATGCAAACAATATCCCATTCTATTGAGTTATACTTTAACTCCTTATATTACCTATCCATAAGAACTGAGGGTCTAAAAAACCGCAGCCTTAATTGATAAGCAAAACTTCCTAATACCTTTCCCCTTCAATAATCAAAAGTAAAAAATGTACATGATGCAAACAATATCCCATTCTATTGAGTTAAACTTAAAACTCCTTATATTACCTATCCGTAAGAACTGAGGGTCTTGAATTCTTAGCATGTTATTCTCACCCTGGTTGATTACTTGAGCCCAAGTGCTTTTAGAACAATGACATGCCTGGTCTTAGTTCTGTAATCAAAATAGCCAGAACTGGTCAAGTTATAAAGCTAGAGTAATGTTAATTTGTTTACTATCTGATCGACCATGGTTATTTTATCCTTTTATCGACAATGACTTATGAAAATTTGGGTCCGAAGCTGAGATTGATAATAAAGGTGGTTATTTGCACATCTGCATATTGAGTTTCTACTAATATGCTTTCCTGAAGTAGTTTAGTAGTTTTATTAATGACTATTGCAGAAAGTTGTTACTATAATAAGCGTCATAATGTTTGGATATTTGCTTTGCAGTTATCTTCAGGAACGTGCGGCTATGGACAAATCATTTTCTTACGAGGTATGATTTAGTTCCCTTTATTTTTGGTTTCCCTCATGTCTGAACTGTTTCTAGCATATATGACGAAGTATTATATTTGTGAACCTCTTACTACATCCAACATGATTTTCCATGGTCCATACAATGGAAATTTTATGGGTCTATATATGTTTCTAGCTCATTACTTAAATAAAATTCCTATAATGCACATTAACCGAGCAAGCAGAGAAAATAAGTTTCTTCGTTGCAGGAAGCTCCACCAAAAAAAAAGCAAAAAAAAACTTGTAATGGAAAGCTCCCAAAGAAACAACGTGTTGATGTAAGCTTGAGGAAGCTAATTGCAATTGCTTTATCCAATATTTTGTCTTAAAAATTGTATTGAATAGAAAGTTGCATGTTGCATGGTAGAAGTATTGTGAACCTGTTCCAACAGTGATTAGTACATTTTATTTGATCTGGGTCATAGTTATTAAAGGCCTAAGGCGCTAGGCGCGCGCCTAAGTGAAGTGAGGCGCACAATTGAAAATTTAAACTATCATAATAACATTCATATCTCATAAGTCATATCAATATTCTAAAAATTAATATCAACTATAAAAAAGTAAATCCATCAACTATACAAGCATCTAACAATCATAAAACAGAGTACAAATTTGTTTTCTTGAAAGGCAAAGCAAAATGTGTTTTTTGAATGGCAAAACAAAGCACAAAAAGAAATAAATATGTTAACAAAAAAAAAAAAAATGACAGAGAGATGAGAGAACTAGACGAAGAGAGAGATGTAAACAAAGATAAGAAAAGAGGAGAGATCTAGAGGAGAAGAGAGAAAAAAGAAAAGAAAAGAAAGAATTGACGTGGCTTTGTCGTTCATCTCTGCAATTAGGGCTTTGTCTTCGTCTCACAATCTCATTCTATCGTTGTTCGGTTAACACTTTGACTCTTGGGCTTTCTTATGTTTTTTATTCTTTTGAACAAAAGTTCCTTATATCGCATGATTGAGCTTTCTTTTTCTTTATTAAGTTGCCAAAAGTACTCTTTTTGGCTTAAGAAATAGAACAATCGTATTTTTTTAAACAAATATCAGTGAGGCGCGCCCACAAACAGGACGAGGCACAACCGAGGCGCGTGCCTAGTAAACATCAGTGAGCCTGGGATGATAACAGGCGCTAAACCTAAGCCTCGAGCCTAGGCGCGCCTGCATAGATTGTTAATACTATATCTAAGCACTATTGGTCACATATATATATATATATATATATATATATATTAATCTTCTTAGTTGGTACTCACACACACATGCCTCCACTGAGGCTTGAACCCCTGACCTCCCTTTGGGAAGTAAGAGTCTGGTACCGCCAGGCCACTGGCCTGTTGGTAAAGCACTATTGGTCATTAATTGATTTTAAATTGTACAGGATGCATGGATTGTGAGATTTCAATTGTGTCTACTGTTTTCTGATGCCTTTTTCATACTTAATCAAATTAAAATTAAAAACAGGTGATAATTGTTGATGATGGTAGTACTGATGGAACAAAGAGAGTAGCTTTTGACTTTGTGAGAAAATATACAGTAGACTATGTGAGGGTTATCCTCCTTGGAAGAAATCATGGCAAGGGAGAGGCTATACGAAAAGTTAGTCTAATCTAAACCATTCATTCCCTTGGTAACATATCCTGATTATGTTGACGACTCTATATATTCTCTTCATGACGACAATTGATTGAAGCTTTGTACTTCTGTGAAAGCATTGGAAAACAGGGAATGCTTCATTCACGTGGTCAACTACTTCTAATGCTGGATGCTGATGGGGCAACTAAGGTTAATGACTTGGAAAAACTTGAAAATCAGGTCTGTGTCAGCCATGATCATTTATATTGTGGATGTATTGATGCAAAATTTTTATAACTACGTCATTGTCATTCTTTTTCTTTAAATGTTGGCAAAGTTTCTCTAAGGTGGCTTACTTTTTGCCTATCAGATCTGTGCAGTTGCCAGAAAAGAATTTCATGGAGAATCAGCTGCTAGTGATTCAAGTTCAAGAGTTTCTGATATCCCAGTTGCTGCATTTGGTTCTCGTGCACATCTTGAGGAGAAGGCTCTTGCTACAGTTCAGTCTTGTTAATATATGCAACTCTTTTTCTTATACTTTTTGGTTATATCTTTTTATTATTATTTTTATCTTAGTAGTACAAGTGTTCACTTTGTGATTCAGAGGAAGTGGTACCGCAATTTCTTAATGAAAGGTTTCCATGTTGTGGTTCTATTGACTGCTGGTTCAGGGATTCGTGATACACAGGTTAGTTTTCTGCTTCAAAAAAATTCCACCCAGCTTAATACCCATTCTGAATTTCAGCTAAATTTGCTTATTTGGTGTCATCACAGTGTGGTTTTAAGATGTTTACTCGAGCTGCTGCAAGGAAGCTTTTTACAAATATCCGTTTGAAGAGGTAACTCTTTGCAGAACATTTGGAACCTACTTACTATGCCATTAAATTGTGGAGTGACTTGTTTTTTTAAATCGGAACTGTGAAATAACATTGTGCTGACACTTATTTGCTCAGTGAATATAAATTATATCACTGTGTTGACACTTATTTGCTCAGTGAATATAAATTATATCACTGTGTTGCTATCACGGTATCCATTTTTTGAATTCCCTTTTTTTTTTATTATTATTATTATTTTTATTTTTCTGTATTGTAAAGCATCTTTACAGCATCCTGGAAACAGTACCAGACTACTGAAATTGCAAGTGCCACGGTTGTTGTGGCTTACCGGCATCGCCTAAGTGATTGGGCAAAACTTTAAGTAATTGGGCCGCTCAATCAGGATATCCTATGCGTAGCCAAAGCCCAAACTGATGCCCAATACACTCTCTCCTTTTTTCTTTTTCTTTTTTCTCCGACAATGATGGTGTCAGGCCTATTAGGACCCTATGGTCTACAACTGGGCATTTACACTCCTCTCATCATATTTGCACCAGGCAAGTACCAGGAAATTTTCTGGGGCCTCCAAGGGATTCGAACTCCTAACCTCCAATATGTGAGGTGACCCTAAGGGTTGATGTCCAGTATTACATATATTCTAATTTCTACCTCAATATACACATGACACGAATTATGGGCTTGTAAGGGTCATTACTTAATGCAATGGCAAAAGTTTGGGCTGTCAGGTGTGTGAATGCAAATTCTAGTTTAAAAGGAATCAGTTTAATGTAAAATGATGCTAAATTTAAAATTTATGTTCTGTCCATCCCTCACGGCAGGCTGCAGTGACAGAATGGGTAAATGATCTTTTTAGATTAATTACTCGTACGTCTTCAAATTGCAAATGTACGGGCATTGTATCATGGCCATAAGTTTCATTCTTGCTTTAGGTGCACCTTTGCGATACTCAGGCATTGTTTCCACTTGGAATAGATCAGCCTCACCCATGCACTTGTGACAATACATGGGCCCCTCTTGCCTAACCTGCTAGTACTAGTGGTGGTCCTTGCTCACTCACTCACTGGGGTTTGCTGTAAAGATAGGCTCCACTTTTTTCTTGTGCGCTGCTGTAAAGATTTTCAATTTGTTTTGTAGCTTAAAGCAATATGGACTTGTGCAGGTGGTGCTTTGATGTGGAGCTAGTGTACTTGTGCAAATGGTTTCGCATTCCTATTATCGAGATTTCTGTAAATTGGTCTGAGATTCCAGGATCCAAGGTGAATCCACTAAGCATTCCTAACATGCTGTGGGAGATGGCACTTATGTCTGTGGGGTATAGAACAGGCATGTGGAGAATTTCTACTTGAGCCTTTTCATTTTGGAAGCATTATAGTCTTCTTTCTAGCCTCGTTTTAGTGCCGTGGAGGAAGAAGTGACACACAATTTGGTAGCTGCAGGACATTCGCATCTTTAAACACACTTGTACAACGAGCCTTGATCTGACCTCATCACTCAGGTTGTCTAATTATCTTGGGAAAAACTCTTTTTTCTTCATTGTCATTTACTTGAATTTGGTTGATTCGACATAAAATCACAGAGAAAAGACATTAGACAATACATGGAAATTGTTGGTTTAGATGAGGAGGGATTGTTGATTACACTGAGATTTTAATCTTTGGCTCTTGTATTAATTTAGTTATTTAATTCATATTTGACAATTTTAACGAGAGTGGCCATCTGCTGCCTGCATATCACATCACTGACGTCGGGACTCATTTTGCATTGCTCAGAAATGCATAAATTTACTCATTTCCACGGGAGTTGTAACACAATGTGGCAAGTAATATGTGTGAGGAGCGTTCAGAAGCACGTGAGAGAGTTTCTCCGGATCTAGGTTTCAGGCCTAGTGTGCTCCGATTATTCATTTGAAAGATTGTCTCCATTATGATATTTAACCATACAAAAAAGAATTCACATTTTTGCCATCAATTATCTTAATATGATTTGTTTTTGACTGATAATAATTTAAATACCCGAGGATAGGAGAAGGCTCTTAACTTAACGTAATATCTCATAAGATTGAGATAAGCTCAACAGATTACGATAAGGAGGTAGGCTCTACAGTGATAATGAACGTTTTAAGGTCAGAGCGTACTTCCCCGGTAACACATCGGTGCCTGTAGGATGACTTTTTCTTCTCTTTGTTCTGCAGAATCCATCGTCAACATTGGCTACACTATATATTGACTATAAACTCAATTAGTGTATTTTATTTATATTTTGTTAATATTATTTGAAAAGAAAAGAGTTAATTGAATAAATTAAAAACAACAATTCATTTATAACACGATTGAGACTCGATCAACAAATTTAATCTGTTAGAAAAATAATATATTTGCCAAGCAAGAATTGATCTTCACTTACATAGTGAAGCAAATTAATTCCGACTATTGTTCGACAATTCTCCATAATGGTTCGAGCATGCATTCCCAAGCTAACAATAATAACCAACACGAGCACATTTTCATGACCATGATGACTACCCTGTACTTATAAGCATCATTCGAACTAATCCAGTAGTATTCTGAAAGTGTCCATAATAGAATCCGCTAGGAAGTAGAAAGATATAACAAATTTATCAAAACCATTAAGTAGCATGGCAACATATGAAAACTCTCATTGACTGAAATAAGTTTAAAATGGATAGCATAACAACAGTATAAAATTCTAGAAATCAATAAAAATTAAAAGAATTAGACCATCCTCGCAATCGACTCTCAAACCTCTGAAAGTCATCAACCCAACATGAGAATAACAGGCATGCAACACGAAGCTAGAATGAAGGGTTGCATAAGCTGGCTGCATTTCTTTCCCATAAATAGGAAGCTTTTTCCTTCCAACATTTCTTTCCTTGGACAATCAGAAGCATTTCCTATGCACGATAGATGGCCCAGATTCGTCATATTCAGCCTTTGCTATCCACATCTGCTCCCAAAAAAAATGAGTCAGTCCAAACAATCAGAAATCATATGAGAGCAACTCAAAATAAGTTTCTTTAATGCGGAGATACGAGCATAAAAAGGAACAAACCTGCTGGAAAGTGCTGAGGGATGCCAAAATGGAGCCTCCAATCCAAACGCTGTACTTTCTCTCAGGCGGTGCCACAACCTTGATCTTCATGCTGCTTGGTGCTAGTGCAGTAATTTCTTTGCTCATTCTGTCAGCAATGCCCGGGAACATGGTGGAACCACCACTGAGAACAATGTTGCCATAAAGGTCTTTCCTGATGTCCACATCACACTTCATAATGGAGTTGTATGTGGTCTCATGTATTCCTGCTGCCTCCATTCCGATCATAGAAGGCTGGAAAAGTACCTCAGGGCATCGGAAACGCTCGGCACCAATGGTGATCACCTGTCCATCAGGCAGCTCATAACTCTTCTCTACTGCAGAGCTGGTCTTGGATGTCTCCATTTCCTGCTCATAGTCAAGGGCAATGTAAGCCAGCTTTTCCTTCATGTCTCTCACAATTTCACGCTCGGCTGTGGTGGTAAAAGAGTATCCACGCTCGGTTAGAATTTTCATCAAAGAATCAGTTAGATCCCGCCCAGCCAAGTCAAGACGAAGGATGGCATGTGGGAGGGCATAACCCTCGTATATAGGGACTGTATGGCTGACACCATCGCCAGAGTCCAGCACAATACCTGTACAGGAAAGACACAATACACGAGGTTGTGGTAAAAAAAATACCCACATCAAAGTTTCTATAAAATGAGAAACATAGAGTGCATCATATCCACAAATTGCTTCACAAGATATCAAATTCCATTGCAACCATCTATGGAATTCTGCCGCCCCTCTAGAAACCCACTAATGAAAGACAAACTAAACAAATAGAGTTAAGTTTCAACATGCAATTGTCAAAATCAGAACTTTTTCAGTGCCATCTTATGTTATGTGGGCACTTGAAATTCAAGTTGTATGATTCACTGAATTTCAAGTACCAGCCTAAGTAAAAGAAAATCTCAATACTAATTGAAATGCATGGACAAGTTCAACAAGCAGCAATTTTGGGTATTTGAAGGTTGCCATGTTATCACTGCCAGACGAACCAACTTTGCTCAAACACTTACTGGCCAGTCAACAGATTGAATTGCTTACCAGTTGTGCGACCACTGGCGTACAAGGAAAGAACAGCTTGGATGGCCACATACATAGCAGGAGTGTTGAAGGTCTCAAACATGATTTGCGTCATCTTCTCACGGTTAGCTTTGGGGTTGAGAGGCGCTTCAGTCAAGAGAACAGGATGCTCTTCCGGTGCAACACGGAGTTCATTGTAGAATGTGTGATGCCATATCTTCTCCATGTCATCCCAGTTGCTCACTATACCATGCTCAATTGGGTATTTCAACGTCAAAATACCACGTTTGGATTGAGCCTCATCTCCGACATATGCATCTTTCTGGCCCATGCCAACCATCACACCAGTGTGGCGAGGGCGTCCAACAATACTAGGGAACACTGCTCGTGGAGCATCATCTCCAGCAAATCCAGCCTAAAAGATAAAATTACAATTAGTAGTCTCAAACTCAATTAAAGAAAAAAAAATGCAAAACAATTGGTCACAACTTTCCAAAAAGCACTTTACTGGAAAAAATAAAATAAAAAACTTTCCAAGAAAGCATTAACAGATTAGCATCTAAAACACAAATCTCACACAGACAAAGAAAGCTTGTTTCATACCTTCACCATTCCTGTCCCATTATCGCAAACGAGTGGCTGAATGTCCTCACCGTCTGCCATCTTTTGCTACCTCCTGGCAAAAATGAAGCTTTAATAAGAACAAGAACACAAGGTGATGAATCGCCTTTTTGCTTATTTGTGTCTGCAATAGCATATCAGATATATATTATATAAATGCCACATGGACTGATGATATTAACCAACAATTTTGGCAGGATGTAGGATATCAATGTAGAAACATGGAACATACCAACTCAATTCAGTTATTTACTCTCAAAAGACGAATGCAATTGAGTCATGGGAAAAAACTTGCTTACAGATGGTATATGAAGAAATGCAACACACAAGCAGCCATATTGTGGTAAGAGAAAATTGAAAAAAAAAAAAAAGGAAGAAGAAAAGGATTTAGTATGAATAAAGATAACACACAAAATAATGTGGAAATAAAACACAAATGCACTAAAAATATTGCACATCTTGTCCTGAAAGTAAGTCACAGTTCTCCAAAGGAAGTTAATGAAAAAATATAGCAATGATTAATTATCTAGAAAATAAAACAGGTACTGTTCAAGCCTAACCATCTAACATCAATAACTGATTAATTCAAATAAAGCAAGATGGAAAAAGAAGGCTCCATATAGAGTTACAATTTCATTGCAGTTTGCAACAGCATGTGGTACAGATTGATTCTGTCCAAAAAAGGTAAAAAATAAAAAATAAAGAACCGTATATCATATCAAAAACAACTAAACAATGGATCATATTCTGCTATGAAGGGTCTGCTTACTCAACAAAAGAATTCTAGAAACAGTTAAACCATAAAACATGTTTCGTTTAGCCTCCATTCATTTCAAATGATAATTAAGGAATGCTTAACAAGTCTCTCTGTCTGCTTTGAAGGAGAAAGTTATAATAAGCAAGAATATTTGCTACAGAAAAAAAAACTGGAAAGTCATAACAAGCAGGGCATGTGGAAAATTGAAAGTCAAGGAAATATGAATGATCTGAGCAATGAGAGAGAATAATCATGAAGACCGTTATACTTGCATATAAAACACTGATCAGTTTTTCTTTTAACAAAAGGACGTTTGGAGAACGGCAACAAGAGAAATTTTCTTTTGTGAATCGAGAAATTGGCTAATTTCAATTTCATTTAGAATATTTCCATTACCTGCTGTTTTGGACCGCCGAATGGTGGTGAAATTTAATAAATGCAAAGATTCGACTAAACCACAATGACGCAAAGATCATACCTTTTTCCAGTTTTCTCTCAGTTCCTTTCTTACTTCCACTTAAAGAAACATGTTTCATGAAAATTAGAAGCCTTTCATTGTGAGATCATTTCGCGGAATCACTATCACGGTTTATTTAATATATATCAAATGGTTATAATGGGAAAAACTCTGTACACTTCATGATTGAAGACGGGAAAATCAAAAGAAAGTTAATTATAACAAAAACACAAATATTCCCTCATTACTATAAGATATATAGCATTTCTTTCGATGGTCAATCAAATGATCACGGAATTTTACAACACATGCAAAGCAAATGCAATACTGCAACTAAAAAATTTTCATGAAACACTCTAATACTCCCATACAAAATACTATGTTTATTTCAATTCCATCAACGAGAAATATTTCAGATCTAGAATGATCAATCTCAAAATATAAATAAATAATATTCGCAGTAGAATTTCCCACATAATCAAAATAATAACAAAAGTGCTTGAATAAGAGGACCAAGGTGCAAGAGTAACGAATCATCATGTGGTGCAGATTGCAGATGAACATTAATTCACAATTAATTTATGAACATTGTACACTCAGATTAAAATGAAGTGCAAAAGTGCAAAGGGTACGGAATTTTCCCGGGAATGATAGGACCGAGAAACAAAATATTTAGCATATGAATATGAATTAACAACTAAGAAACAACCCAAAAATATTTAAGTTAATCATGAAAATCTAAATGCTAACTACAAGCCTACATCGAATTCCAATACAGATCCGTCAGCAAAATCAACTAGTCTACCTTCGTCCTAGGTCAAGGTTTCGAGAATGGTGTAAAGAAATGAAAAAACAGCAAAATCAACAATCAAAAGACGTTAAAACAAAATCTCCCACACATCATATATAGGTAATAAGAACAAATGCATAACAGCTCAAACAAAATCAAATAGGAGCTTACATAAATAATCCAGATATCAACTCAAAACCGATATCACCAGATTAAGATTTTCCGTTTAAATAAATCAGACTACGAATGAGATCCAACTGATATAAGCGAAGAATGCGAGTGAATTCATACCTTTTGAAACCCTAGATTTCACGTTGACGCAGAGACAGAAACGTTCTCTGTGAGAGAGGGAGAGAGTAGCGAGACAGAAGGAAACTCTATCAGAATTCAGAAATAAGAAGGTTGCCTTATAGGAAGAGAGGTGACGCGATCTGAGGCGTTGGATTCTGATACAGTCTGGATGTACGGACACGGAGACACGTCGTGAGGCTATGATGATGGGTGGGTGGTGTGCACAGCTTGATATCTCCTTCAGCAAAAATAAATAAATAAAATGATAATAATTAATTAATTAAATATTTCTCCTTCATGATTTTCACTTAATTTATTTTCATTTTTTAAATTCTATAGAATTGTAATATTAGGTTACAATTGAATTGGGTTGAGACAAAATCATATAATGCTGGACTTGTCTATTTTGGAATTGTTATTGATTTAAAAATGATTTCAAATTAAAGAAAAAAAAAGTTATAAAATACAAATTTGCCCAAGAGAATACTGATATGTAGTCTGATTAATGAAGAATTATCATGTTTTATTATCAACAAAATGCGAGGTTTTTTTACATGGTAGGTAACCGCAGATGTTAAAAAAAAAAAATTCAAAACCTAATTGCAATTCTAAAAATGTTTATTTAATCATTGCCAAAAATAGATTTGTTGCGAACAAAAAATATAAATGTGGTATGCATATAGAGCATATAACTTACATTTTTTAAAAAAATAACAATAATAATAATTAAATTAAATTAAAAATAAATAAAATTAACATTCAATATTTGAGTAAACAAAAAAAGAAAAATAATAATTAAATGTGAAATGATTGGAATGTCCCTTTTTTTTTTCCCTTATATATAAGGGCATTATTGAAAGAACAAAATATAGAATTTTTTTATCTTAAACATGACTAAATTTGTAATGAAACAGTGACCTCAAATCTTTTTTTTTTTTCTTTTTTTTTCAAACTTAACTTACTCATGTACCCAAAAAAAAAAAAAAAAAATTGTGCGCCATATTTGCTTTATATATATTTCCTTATCTAATTAAAAAAAGATTTATTAAAAAACTCATAATATATAGGTAATTTGAGTTTTATAAAAACTCTTCTATATAACTTATATTAATTAATAAAAATGAAAACTCATAACAAATAGGTAATTGGGGTTAGAGTTTTTATGGAAACTCTTTAAATATTATTTTTATATCAATTAATTTTTTTTATATTAATAAATAAATAATGAAAAACTGAAATTCTTTACAAATTCTTTACAATTTTAATAATATAGTATCAAGTCAATGAATATAATTATTAAATATTTTATTTATCTACTAAGACATATATAATTTTTTTTAACTACTCTTTTTATATCAATTTTAATTTTTTTGTATCATAAATAAATACTAAAATAGTGAAATTCTTTACATTTTTAATTATAGTATCAAGTCAATGAATATAATTGTTAAAACTAATGGGCTAATGGCTTAGTGTAACAAAGGTCATTTTGTCCCACATCGGAATCGGATGGGAAAGAGATTGGGTATAAATGGGTGGGTATACAGCCTTACCTAACAGTTCGAGCTTTTGGGTAAATGGGCAAGCGCCCACCCGTTACAGTTGGTATCAGAGCCAAACCCAGTCCTTGATCCGCTGCCACGCCAAGCGCTCGGCCTGGAAGGCGTCCGGGTGAGTCCACCCGGATAGGCAGGGTGGCCCAACCGCAACGAGGGCGTTGCGAGTTTGGGTGGGGGAGAATGTAACAAGGGTCATTTTGTCCCACATCGGAATCGGATGGGAAAGAGATTGGGTATAAATGGGTGGGTACCCACCCGTTACACCTAGCGATATCTCTTACCTCCTAAAAGGAACACCTAGCGATATCTCTTACCTCCTAAAAGGAAGTCAGAAGTTCAAGTCGCAAATATATATATATATATATATAAAGAAAAAAAAGGCTAAAACTCTCCGAATGTGATTTGGCTAAGCCTGAATTAAAAAAAAAGAAAGAATCCTCTCTTAAATGCTATACATAAATAAAGAAGTGGAGCCCTTCACTTACATATATTGTGCATAAATAACCAATTAACAACATTGATTAAGTAATTCACTGTAACAAATCGATGCAAATATCATTACTCAAATGAAAAAAGGAAAAAATAAATAAATTATTTGTTCTTAGTGTTCCATAAATTTAAATTTACAAAGTAAAAATTCATAGAATTATACAAATATAGTATTATATATACTTTGTATAAATCAAATATTTATTGTTTTAAAATTTATATTAAGGAATTTTTAATCTATAATCTATTCATCCTTTTAAAGTTTTACGAAATGTATTTGTCTTTTTAGAGGAAAAGAAGGGTCGAGAGTAATTTTACAAAAAGGTGATACTTGAGGGGAAGTGTTATATATATACAATTTTAGAGACTTTTTAATTTTTAGTTTGTGAGAGAAAGAGAAAGCAGAGCACCATATATATTTTTTTAATCTTTTTTTCTTTCCTTTTTATTTTTTTATTTTTATATATATATTTATTTATACCATGTAAGAGGGGAATCTTTCTTTTTTAATTTTGACGTGATTTAGTCAAATCAGATTCAGAGAGTTTTTGCATTGTCTCTTTAGCGTTTCTACTATGACATTTATTTATTTTTTATATCATTTTAAATATATATTTTTATATTAATAAATAAATACTGAATATAATTATTAAATATTTTATTTTTCTACCATGACATATATAATTCTTTTTATATATTTTCTTGTCTAATTAGAGAGACTAAAATATTTATTTTCTTTATATTTTTCCTTGTCTAATTATATTTTCTTTTATTAAAACTCATAAAAAAATAGTTAATTTGAGTTTTATAGAAACTCTTTTGAACACCTTATATTAATTATAAATTAAAAAAAACTCATAATAAATAGGAAAAGGAAATTTGTGTCAGAGTTTTATAGAAACTCTTTTAAAAACTCTTTATTAATAAATAAATATCGAAATACTGAATGAATCTTACACTTTTAATAATAGTATGAAGTCAATGAATATATTTCTTGTCCGAGACTAAAATATTTATTAATTTTATATATTTAATAACTAATTGGATTTTCTTTTATTAAAAAACTAATAATAAATAAGTAATTCAAGTTTTATAGAAATTATTCTAAACACCTTATATTAATTTAAAAAAATAAAAACCTCATAATAAATAGGTAATTTGGGTTAAAATTTTATAAAAACTCTAATTACTTATTTATTATGAGTTTTTATTTATTTTTAATTAATATAAGGTGTTTAGAAGAATTTCTATAAAACTCGAATTACTTATTTATTATGAGTTTTTTAATAAAAAAAAATTCAATTAGTTATTAAAAGTGTAAGATTCATTCAGTATTTTTATATTTATTTATTAATAAAGAGTTTTTAAAGAGTCTATAAAACTCTAAAAACTCTTTTAAAAAGTCTTTTATATACCAACAGGCCTGTAACCTAGCGGTACAAGGCTCCTACTTCTTAAAGGGAGGTTAGGAGTTTGAACCTCAGTATGTGTGAGTCCCAACTAGGAAAAAAAAAAAAAAAAAAGTCTTTAATATCAATTAAAAAATATATTTTTTATATTAATAAATAAATACCGAAATACTAAAACTCTTTACACTTTTAATAATAATATAAATATATATATATATATATACACACACACATATATCCTATCAACACTTGCATCCTATCAACACTTGCATCATTTATCCCACCAACACTTATATCGAGACATCTACTAATCTAATTTTCAACACTTGTTGCCTTGAAATATATATATATATATATATATATTTATTGCATCGGTTTTGAAGACAATCAAGCAACTTGAACCGATAACAAATGAGTAGCATTTCATAACCATTCCTTCTTTCTTTTTAGGACAATGCTTGTATCCAACCAAGGTCCAACCAACTGATGTGGCCCCAATAGAATTGTAACATGTGTCCAAAATAAAAAATAAGGTTTAAATTAGATATTGCCCAATTTTTTAAGTTTAACCCATTGCTGCGAGTTTTTTTTTTTTTCCACAAAAAACCATCTGATAATGGGTCTCTCTCTCTTTTTTTCGTTCTCACAAACACCACCACAATCGGCGGCACCATCACCACCACCACCATGTATTCTGACAAATGAATGACCACCTACACCGCTATAATTGGTGGTGCCATCACCACCACCACTGACGCCCTTGCCAGCTCATCTTCGACTCCTCCGTACCCTCTTTCAACTTTGTCATCGCCAACGACCTCGGTCTCCACGCCATATCCTTGATTTGAAAAACCAAACATTAGTCTTAAACTCCAAATTGACACACACCATACACAGAGGAAGCAGTCCCACATAAAAGGCCATCAGGGACCCTTTTCTCCATCACATAGTTGTCATCCAACTTTTTTTTCTTTCATGCTTCCAATTCCAGCACCTGTAGGTAAAATCTGTTTCTAGGAGCACGCATTTGTGGCCTTCAGGTTTTGCTAAATTTCTTGCAAATTTTTTGAAAACAAAATCCAAATTCAATCTGCTAAACATCTAAATCCAGTTTTCCATGCAAATGCAAGCGCCCATGGCGCACGCACACACACACACCACATACACACTTATCCATTAAAATCAGGAGGATTACTGTATAATTCTCAAATATGAAAACTGATAAGCACGCCAGCCAGTAATCTTGATGCATATTCAACTCGGATCCTAATCTACAACAAGCTTACAACAAGAAGGTCTACCCTCTTCAGATGAGGGTGCTTCGCAAGGGCTCAGTTAGTCATAATTAGAGTAGCAACCACAAGAAAGACATAACCTGCTATGATCTGTGTAGCAATGTTGAAACCTAGCCACTGATAAATCTCCGTGGTGTGATTTGCTTTGCGCAAGTCACAATATTGAACAAAAACCCACATGGGATTTGGCTCTCGCCGTTGCCATCAGGGCTTTGAAGATTCCTCATAAAGATATAACAATAGAAATTGGAGATTTGACAAACCAACCCGAACCCAAACCCAATCTTCATTTGAAGGTCACTTGCAGGCGTGTAAAGTGGGTGGATTCATGTAGTAAGCAATATAAGCACTGAACGTCCAATGATGCACTCAATTTCAATTTATCTAAAAGCTAACTTGTTATACTGTAACATCAACAATTTATCTAAAAAACTAAAAAAACTGATCCATTATAGCAAACAAGAGAGTGAAATTCTAGTGCGTGATGAAGACTCACAGCCAGACTTATATAACTTCAAAAATTCATAGAAAATTCAATTTCCAACTAAATTGTATCAAACAAAATTCCACCAGTACGATTTTCAGTGTAATTCAATATCTCAAAAATTCAGAGTCAAATCATTACAATAAGTCAGGAAAATCGCAGTCCGAAATCCCTAGTGTTCAGCTCAAATTCCCATAACAAGGCTATATTCCATATTAAGAAATTTTTTTCCAGCAATTTTCAGGAACCCTGACACAGAAATTTTAGAGCCAAGTTCATGTTTTTCACAAAGCATCAATTATCCAAAGATTGCAATTTTTGGATAATAATATATATGTGTGTGTGTGTGTGTAATCCATTAATTAAAAACCATACATAAAATCAAAAACTTTCTAACAATGCAGAGACTGTCAGATAAGACAGATAGTTTTAGCAATTATCTAGAGATAAGTAAACCTTTGAGTCAATAGTCTCTTAGCTCTTACAAGATGTTTGGCTTCCAAAACATGATTCATATGTCAATGTTGACTGATTTGGTGTTCAATATGTCTAACAATCAAATAAATATTCAAAATATGTGCAGCAAGAAGATTATGTTCCAACCATAACTTACAACTTCAAAGACAACAAGAGGTGGACAAAAAAAAAAGGATGCCCACTTCAAAGACCAACATAAAGATTAAAGAAGCATCTCTATCATTCTTAATATCATGATTTAATGAAGGAAGAAAGAGTTCAGTCAATAGATAAAATTGAAAAGCTGTCCTTCATACTTTGGCATATTGTATACTCTTGAATCATGCAAGATTTGGGAATCAATTAAGGACAACTTCTAGATAGTCTAATTAATAGTCTACTTATTGCACGATCACAACAATTTATGTCATTCTTGTGGATGGCCAGGGAAAATAGAGTAATTCACTTCTTTTCCTTCAACTTAAGTCATACAACTCATAAAAATCATACCAGTTCTTTTAAATAATATGAAAGAACAATGGACACATCCAGCCATATTTCCCATCAGAATATATTTTTTGGAATAGCTAAGTACATGTTATACTAACACAATACATAAAGATAAAAAGTCACGTGAAAATCACAATTTCACTCGCTTGCTTTGACCATGTTCATCTAATTTGGGTTCTTCCTGACACAGTTTGGATCTCTTGCTTTTAAAACTCCACACAGGCTCGCCCAACTCAACTAGAAATTCCAACTATTTGGGATCAGCTAGAATAAATTTTTTTTTTCATTCCGCTCTATTTAGCTTCATAACCAGAAAATTTCTAAGATATGTGTTTGAAAGGTCAACAGAAGTTTCTGTGCTAGACCCCAGGGCTTTGGACCACTTAAAAGACAAACCTGAACATAGTAGGGGGACTTTGAAACCATAACATCAAAATCAAACCCAAATCAGATAACAAATTTAAATATTTAGCAATTATAAAGGATTCAGAAAAAATATATATAGTTAAAACCATTAATACTGACCACCATTATATCCATTTTAAATTTGAAATCCACATGTCAGTTAGAACCAACACACACCACAATATTGCTCGATAGCTATGAGTAGTATCAATTCACTCCGTTAGAAAAGAATACCCATGTAGAATCAGCTATATCTGTATCCTCCTACAAAAAAGAGTCAGAATTTATCAATTTTTTACTATTATTTTTTACATGGAAATTGAAAGTGACACGAGATACACTCAACCTGAGTCGCTTGGATGGGGAAGGGAGGTAATAGAAGTGGAAAAAGTAAGTAATACAAAAAAAAAAAAAAAAAAAGGGTTCCTATTAGAAAGAATGCTGAAACTTAACAATTTGTTCAATTTTAAGATAACCAGACTATTTACGAGAATCTTTCATGCCCACATAGTCAGATGGCCAAAGAAGAATGATTTTATTTGTTTTGGTAGCTTTTTTCATTCAAGCTGTATATTCAAGGCTCTTTGATGACTGCAGACTAAATCCTCAGCAGAACCTAATTGGTAGTGTTTTTTACTGCCTGTACCCAAGAATCATTTGTTCACATATACTCGTGCAAGATAATATGTCAAACCAATTAGAGTATTCCGCCACGGTGCAACATACCACCAAGTCAGCATATCAGCTGATCCTTAGCATTAATCAACTACTGAACAAAGAAAAATCAAAACCTATAATCAAATAAAACTAAGGCACAGTTGAGAAACAGCTTAAAAGTCAGAGAGCTGAAGAAACTTAATTTACTTCATATAAATTATCATTAGACGAATTATGAATTATGCCACTTGTGTGGCTTTGAAGTCTTTTATCCTAACAACTAACTAGGATCATCTGCCATGAAACAAACCTACAGTAGTTTCTTTAATTATCTGAGAAAAATAAAATTGTAAGGCGGTTATTAGCTTCACAGATATTCAAGGTATCTACAACATACTCTAGAATCCAAACTGTAACTTCCAACGAATCCAACCCGACCTCTAATAAACCTACCTTAAAATGTGGCAAGAAAGATAAAGCACTTTCCCTTTACTTGTTTGCAATTTTGTCAAGAGCCAACCCAAAAATAGCCTAAAAACATGGCAAAGCAAGGCCTAGCACAGGAGGGCATTTGAATATGGATCCAAGCAAAGGGATGAAATTGCACAGCTAACAAGAAGGTGGATTCATGGTGATATGGGTGTCCTTTAGGGAGACATGCTTTAGTTTTCTTTAACCAAATGTGATTTATCTAACATGTGGATGGGCGACCTACACCTCAAAAAAAGAGGAAAACGTACACTTGGAATGGTATGCACAAGATAAAAGAGAAGAAAAACTAGCTTCGTGCTTTACAAGTATGCATAGATGGTGACTTAACCAAATGACAACACCTTTAAATCTATGCCAGAAGTCACTTGCATAATATTACCAAATTCAAATTAGTCCCACCTATGCATTCATCAATTAATAAATTTAATCAACTAAACTACGTTGTAAAGTCCACATGAGTGACAGCAATAACCATATTGGTCTCAACATATAGTTCTTCCAAATTTTAAATTTTAATGAAAGGGAAGTTATAAAATAAATGAATATTCAACCTTCACAGAATGAACCAATAAATGATTAATATACAAATATGTGTGTGTGTGTGTGTGATAAGTAAATGATGAATATTCAACCTTTACAAAATGAAACTATAAATGTTTACAATGAATAAGCACAGAAGTATATTAAAGCCTTAAAGGGACTGTTCATAAGAAACCATAGAAAAGGTCAGGGCAAACCTCACTAGCTACTGATGCTAATAGAAAGTCATGGCTTCTAGAACCCATATGATAATTCATTGAAAAAAATAGTCCATATATGGGTGGCAACACATGCATCCAGGATATACATATAGTTATCCAAACCATTACCAATTCACAGCCATGAATGGTTTCTAGACCCTTCATAATAATCGTTTGACCAATATATAATCCACGAGTGGGTGGGGTGGGCATTGCATGCATCCACAAAATTACAAGAACAGACACAACAGATTTTACCAGGGAAAATTCAACCAACGCTAATGAAACATGGTATAACAATACATATAGCTTAAAAGAAGATGGAAGATGACAAAACATGTCAAAAAGGTTTCTCACAATTATATGATAGACCAAGGCAAACGTGAAAAAATAAGAATCCAATGTTTTGCTGGCCTTCTCAAGAGATACACAGACAATGGTACAAATGTTTGCATTCTTGTTACTGAAACTAGCAAGGCTCACTCTGACTTACCAAACCCAAAATTAACACTAAGCTATCAGCAAAACATGAGAAAAAAATTGTAAATTCAATGATCTACCTGGGGATGTCACTAGAAAATTTTGCATATATCCTCATATTCAACAGACTGAAGCACCCTGCCATCATATATACCCTTCTCAATCTGCACCTTGGCACAAAATTTTTCTGTGTTTACTGAAAGCAAGCGCGCATTTGATCCACGATATGCCCCATTAACTATTCTCACTAGACCCCCAATTTGTGGAATTACTGTTTCGAGCTCTTCCTGATCGATCCTCAGCACGCCCTTACGCTCAAGCATTTCAATTTCCCCTACATATTTATCAATTATCTTACGCACAACACCCTTTTGCTTATAGTACCCCTTCTCAGCCAGTGCCCTGCTCATGACCTTAACAACAATTCCTTCACACAACCAATAATCCTTCCTATTAATCCGTTCCTTCGCCTTCTCTTGCTCTCTCATCAAATCATCCAAAGCTGATTTACTGCCACCCCCATTTTTTATTGATTTTCCATTGTCTTTAACTTTCTTAGTATCATTCTCTGCCCCTTCAAATACCAATTTGGAGCTCTTGGATTTTTCTTTTTCAATTGGTTTTGAAGAGGAACCAAGTGCGAATGCAATCTTCTCACCACTCTCTGACTTTGACAGTGGTAGCAGTGCAGACCCCGAAGGCTGTGTGTCCTCATTTCCCACTGGCATTAACTGTTCAGCCCTTTCGATTTGCTTCAAAATTTCCCTTTCTTGCTTCTCTTCCTCTACTATATCAGCCTTAATTCGCTTATTTTTCAACCTTTCCTTAAAAAGGGTCTCCGAATCTCTATCTATATAAGTAATAAACCACCCCTTTGGGGTCTCCTCAACCTTGCACTTGCCAGTTCGCCCCAAATGCTTCACAAACTCGGTCAACGTGGCCCACTCAGTGGAATTCATATGAACATGATGACGATCTGCAATATATTCATTATATACTACGGTGGCAGCAATACGGCTGAAGCGGTGGCTGCGCTTCATGTGCTCCAGGAAGGAAGTCTCAAACTCCTCGGTGTAGCCGTCTACTATTCGGTTAGGGTTTTGGCCAAATACCTGCATTTGGCGCTGGTGGCTTTCACTCATACAATGGCACTTGAAGCCATTCTCGTCCCTGCATTGTTTCTGACACATCTGACAGTACCACCGAAGCTTCTGTAGACCCTTCGCCTTGATTCGGTTTGCAATTGCCTTTGGTGTCAAAAATTCGTTCTTCCCCATAGGAATTTCCCAGGTAAAACCACAACTTTCTCAAAACCAGAAATAGGATTGATCAATCCAGTCTACTATTCCACAGCTTGCCTGCAAAATTTTAAAAAAAATCTCATAACTTTATTAAAGAAAGCCTAACACATACTTCCAAAACCATACCTAATTATTGTGTGAGCAAATCAGAAAAAAGCCCAAAAAGCCCATTCTTAAGTTTCCAAGTATTGAAGCAACAGACTAACCCCACTCCAAATCACCATATTAAAATCAAATAAAAAACAAAATTGAAAATAGAGATTCAAACGAGCCAAACCGAGCTAGAGCTAGAGCCAGTTTGAGCTCGGTTTGGTTTTGCTGCAACAGTAACCAACAACCCATCAGAATCCATCGAATCATTAAAAAGAAAACATTTAGATATTTTTTGTTTCCACAATGACAAAAAGAGAAATTTTCACACCAAGGCCTAAGGTTCAATCTTTTCAAACTAAGAATTATTGAAGGCAAAAAATTGGTTTTCAAAAACTGTTTGAATAATAGAGGGAGAAAGAGAAAAAAGGGAGTGATTTACCATAGAGCATGAAAAATCCCTAATTTGCGAAGAAAAACCTAAAAGATATACTCTATACACACCTATATATATATATATATATAGAGTGAGAGAGAGGAGGAGATAGAGAGAACTCTCACCTGAAGAGGGATAACGTGATCGATGGTCGTCAATAATTAGTTTATATATATATATATACTCTAAGCTGTGAATGCTGAAAGGTGAGATTAAACGTGGAGTCAGATATTTCTAATCGTATTATTCGATCGAAATTTACATATATAAGCATATATATATATATATATATATATATATATATATATATATTACTTGCAAAAAATATAAAAGTAGTATATATAGAGAGAGAGTGGATGGAGATATAGGAAGAAGGAATCGGACTTGAAGTTTCAAAATTCAATAATGAACCAGACCAAATGAAATTAGATCAAAAAGGAGATAAAAGATTCCATAAACACGCGGAATCAATCAAGAAAAAAAAAAAGAAAAAAAAAAAGGATCAATTTCAGATTGGAAAAAGCGAAAAAGGAACCCATTACCATAAATTGGAATTATTGGAAGAGTTACTTACTTGTAATCTTTTTGGCGCTGCTCCTGATGAAACTGAAGCTAATCTCCCAAACACTAACCCAAATCTTCTCCTTCAACTTCGAGCCTTCGAGGAGCGACAGGAGCCCTAGAACACAAATCGTTTTTCCAATTTTTTTTCTTGATTCGAAAAGCATAAAAATGGGTAAAGAAATTCAGTGGCTAAAAGACAGCCAAACTGAACAAAATTGGGCCCATAAACCCAAACGTTTTATTTCTATTATGCGTCAACAAATATTTTTTTTTTTTCCCTGCATCCTCAATTTTTTTTTTGTATGATCAACTTTTGTTTTGGGCCAAATTTTGAGGCCTAGTATAACTATATTTGTTGGACCAAAATTTGAGACCCCCAAATTTGGAGGTCATGGTAGGAAAATAAGGCGCTAGAAGATATACAAGTATACATTGGTATTCAGAGACATGAAAATAGAGAAAATATACTCACATGTATGAAGTCATTTTGGTAAAGGAAAATTAATCAAAGCATATTTAAATGCTTTTGTGTGTCACTGTATCTGTGAGAGAGGGAAGGTAAGAATGGTGGCCTTATATAAAGAGAGGATATATAAGATATATGTTGGGTTTTTTTTTTTTTTTTGGGAATTTTTGGAATGTTTGAAAAATCCAACATTTTATGAAGTGTGTTTTAATATTTTTTTATGGATAAAGTACAACAAACCCCCTTAAATTATATCTCAATGAGCAAAAAAACCCCTAATTTCTAAAGGAACATTAAACCCTAGATTATGCTGTTTGGTTGCACTTAGGGCTGCAACTCGGGTGGGCCTAACCCGAATTCACCCGAGCCCAGCCCGTATTTTTATGGGCTTGGACAATGATTTTTTTGTTCTGGGCCTGGGCCTGGGCTGAGTTTATTGAGCCCGAATTCAATTCGGGCCGGGCTCGGGTAGATATGTTATGAAGCCCGAAGCCCAACCCGAACCCGCCCGAAATGTTAATATTGGTTATGAATTTTATATTTTGTTGGAATGTGACTTGTTATTTTGTTAACTTTGTACTTATTTATTATTAATGTTGGACGTTCTGTATATTTTAAATATTTTGTTAACTTTGTATGTTTTGTATTTTGTTGGAAGCGTCATCATGAACACACATCACATAGATTCAAGGCCTTGTGGTATTGCTACCTTATCATCATTATCAGCTTCTGGACTTGTCATCTTGATGTTGTTGGAGATGATGATGCACTACTTGAACATGATGAGGTTGAAACTTGAAACTCATACAACTGCTCCAACTCCAAGCACTAATAAAATTGAGAGAGCCCGATTTAAAAGTCCAAGAAAACTCGAAAATATAACCCGAATAAAGAACCCGAGTTTAGCCCGTGTTTTAAAAATTAAGTATGGGCTGGGCTTGGGCTCACTAGGCGAAACTATACCTAGGCTTGGGCTGAAGATTTGTATGTTGGGCTGAGCCCGAGTTAAGTATCCAATTCGCCCGAGTTGCAGCCCTAATTGCACTTCACCCAATCCGGCCACTGATTGATTTCTAGCGCACGTGATAACCAATATTCTCTAAATGACCATAGAGCCCTTATCATAAGTAAAAGACCATAATGACCTTTGAAGTTCAGACTTAACATATTCACGCTGCTGCCCTCCCTTCCCTTCTCTATGTCCTCTGTTCATCCATTACATCGCCGCCGTTGGTTCTCTCCTTGGCCGCCGTATGTCTATCAATGCTATTTTTAAGGTTTTTTTTATTTTGGTTACTGTTCTTGTCATCCCACCACTCACAATATTCTGTGAACCATCGTCCATCCCACGTCGGCGACCATCGTCGAGCAGGCTCAGTATAGTTGGACCCAATTAGTGTCCAAACAAGCCCTAACGTCTATTTTCTTCATCGATCTGTCATATATAAGTTGCCCTAATTCATTCATTGTCCTTCTTCCTCATCGATCCGTGGCCCTCCTCCTTCCATATCACTGTATCTGTCTATATATATATATATATATATATCTATATCTCGTTTAATTTTGGCATGTCTCTCTCTCTCTCAAATTAAACATGTCTATCTCTCTTTCTCTATATATATTATATACACATATATACTGATGTATTGTATTTTTTTTTTTACAGAGGATGTGATATATATATACACATGGATTTTTTGGTAGAAGATTTTTGGAAAGAAGATCTATATATATATATATATGTGTATATTATGTATATATATAAAATGATATATGTTGATATATATAAAATTGCAAGAATAATCTGTTCATAAGGGAATTGGTTCAGATTCTATATATAGAACAATATATATATATATATATATATATTTGGAAAGAAGATCTATATATATAAATAGAACGTTATATCTCTATATATCGAGAGAGAACTACTTTCTGATTTTTGGGAAAGAAAGGTTAAAACGATCTTTGATAAGGGTAAATTGGTCTTTCTATTTTTCGGGCACCAGAAGATGATGTGGTGGGGTAAATTGCAACAAAATTATAATTAAAGAGGATTTTTTGTAATTAGGGAGGTTTGTTGTAAAACTTCAATAGTTTAAAAGAGTTTGTTGCACTTTACCCATTTCTTTTATTTTTATTATTATATTGATAAAAGCGAATTTTTAAATTTATCTTTTTAAAAAAAGATATTGCACTTGTTAATGTTAAAACGATAGTTTTGGTATGTTATAAAGAATAGTATATCCTACTATAACTAGTTTTTTTTGAATTACAAAAAAAAAGAAAAAAAGAAAAAAAAGAAACAAACTAGTTATTTAGGTTTTCTACCAACAGCTTTAACTATAATCACAACTCTATTTATTGTTTTGAGCAACATACTGATTTATTTGAAATTAATTAAATGAACAACAATTCATAGTATTCTATAATTAGTACTTATCGGGTCAGTTATCAATTCTTGGTAATTGAGATTAATATTTAGAAATAGATATTACCTATCTTGATCGATCAGATTTATTTATTTTTGTTTGGTAGGTGGTTGATTCAAATTTTGGAGATCTTTATCAAGATTTATAAGTCTGATTTCAATGGCTACCTATAGAACTTTTGATCTCAAAGTGAAATGCTTATGTGATGGATGCAAAGAAAAGATTGATAAAGTGCTGAAAAATGCATCTGGAGTGCAATCACATGACATAGATGAAGATGAGATGAAGGTGATCATCTCAGGCAACCCACGTTATTAAAAAAATGGTTGAACTGAAAGTCCTTTAGTCTAATGGTATAACCTCCTCATCTTCAAAGAAGAGGGGAGGGGTTCAAGTCCGGACGTGGGCAAAAAAGTGTGTGTGTGTGTTTGTTTTACCATCCAAAAAAAAAAAAAAAAAAATGATTGATAAGCATCTAAAGAAGATATCATATTTAGAGTTCATGTTGGATGAGAACACCACCTTTACCACTGTGAACACGAAGACGAAGGTACCGGCAAGACTAGTTGAAGGAGCTCGTGGCTACCTAAAAATGGTACCAGTCCTACCCCAAGCGATGCAGTTTACAAGAACTCAAAGTTACTCGAGGGTAAGACCTTTTTTTTTTTTTTTTTTTTTTCATGAAAAGCATGAACATATCAAATAGTATGTCTAAATAATGTATAACACATTTATGTGTAATAATCTCTAAATGCATGTTTAATGGAATGTATATACTAATTTTATAAATCTCCAATTATGTGTATATGAAACATTAATTTTGAGATTTAATTTGTAAATATCTTACCCAAAATAGTGTGATTTTATAAATGGTCTATGATTAAGAAGCTCAATTTTGCCATCTTACTGCACAGAGGCATTTTTGGAATTTTATGGGGTTGGAGTTAAGTCAACCAAACTTAGATGGTAATTGAGCCAAACCTTGGTGAGGCTAAAGTCATTTACTTTACAAATTATTATTACCTCAGTCCTCATTTAAATGTCAACGGTGACTCACAAGGTGAGTATGTAGAAATAGAAATACATAAATAGAAATAGAATGGATGATGGTGGGCCGAACGTGGTGTGTCACGGTTCTTAAAATAGGACATTTAAATTGAGATGGAGGGAGTATATTTTTATATATAAATAAAAATAGAAATAGAATGGATGATGGTGGACCGGATGGAGATAGCAAAGGGTTAGGAGGCTTTAAGGGCCTGCTTAGTTTGTAATTTTTAAAATAATTTTTTATTTTTAAATAATTAAAAATAGAATATTGTGAGAATTTTCCTTAAGACCGTAGTTGGTATTCTTCTTGGAGATCCAACTATTGTTGCATCTGTGTTGGTAGAATTAATTTCCAAATAGGTCAAATTTGGCCATTGCTTTGGTGATTTAGTTAGTAATGTTAAAAAGTTTGGCCATATACAACTTGGTTTCTAACTTTTTTCCTTTGCTTTTTTCAGGTTCATTTTTTTTTTAGTAATGAAATCTATTACTACTAGGCGTCATTTGTTTTATATGTACTGTTTTGTTTTGGTGAGAAATTAATCTGCAATAAAGATTTTGGTGAGATTAGAAGTGTTGTTAATATCATTGGAAGGGCATGCTCTTCCTTATTTTATAACTGTTTTTTTTTTATTTTTTATTTTTATATATATTCTGCTCAGGTTGTATTTCAATTTTGAGTCTATGCTTCATTCCATGGAATACTGCAGTGGGTCTCGACTAACAAAGAAATTAATAGCCTGGCACAAGAGCCTTCTTCTTCCTTATATTTAGGGCATTGATATTATGATGTGGTTGGATTACTGGCTTCCAAATGGGCATTTGCTCAATCAGATCAACTTTAATGATGGGGAAATTTTTCAACTGGACTTGAGAGTCAAAGTTGATAAGCTAATTTCCTTGAATCATTGAATTGTACTTGACTCACTTGCTCACATTCCCTTCTTTCAATCACAGAACTTTCACACTCAACTAAATGAACTGCCAAATCCTTCCACCAATGCTGATACAGTTTTATGGTTACCTTCACCTAGCTGCAATTTCTCCCTTGCTCATACAATCAAATACCTCCTCCCTCCCACTTTCATTTTCCCATGGCATAAGACCATTTGGTTTAAACATCATATTCCCAAACATAGCTTTATTGCGTGGTTAACAACAAAAGGAAGACTTTATTGGTACAAGCATTGTACCAATGTTTGTTTTCTTTGCCTAGCCAACAATGAATCCTTAGACCATCTATTCTTCCAGTGTGAGTTCTCAAATGTGGTGTGGTCATTCATTCAACACACAATTGGGTTGTACATTCTAGTTGGAAAGAACTGATCTTATGGTGTTCTGCTCATTGGAGTGCTAGTGATTTTCTGGTGCATAAGTTACTACTCTCTGCTGCTGTCTACTTTCTATGGATGGAAAGAAATAATAAGGCCTTCAGGAACACCTCCTCATCCCCAACCTCAGTTATTTCTCAGATAAAGAAATGTTTAAAAGGAAAACTGGCCTCAATTAAGCTAAAGAATGCTTCTGATCTGAGGAATGTTAGGAGAGTTGAAGACCTGCAGAAACTGTTCGTGGATGGATGCAGTAATGCCTGTGCTCAGGCTTTAACTATCCCTTAAACTTGGTTGCCTTTAATGGAAATGTTTACTGGAAGATGTTTGCTTGGATGGTTGCTTCTTATGTTTGTATTGCATTCTGTTTACCTGAACTAACAGAAGTCTGGTTCTGTAACCTATTATGTATTTGCTTGCTAGGACTGGTTCATTGCATTTGTATTTGCTGGGATTCTGCTGCTGCCTTGTGCAGCTTGTTGTTCCTATCTTATAGGACTCTCTTGTACATTATTTTTTCCATTTATACAAGCTTACCCTTTAACTAAAAAAAAAGATAACTATTTGAAACTCATAAAATCACTCAATTTTATGATAAACTTGGATCTTCTCTTGTGTTATTTTTATTCTGTGTTTATATTGTGCCAATACAAATTTACATCGCTTATATAACAACTCGTAATCTACATGATGCTTACATAGAATTCGATCTAAATAGGGATCTCATCACACTGACATAATGGCTGACAACTTGTAAATGTTTGGTTGACTAAATGGAGGCCGTCAAAGAAAGTTCCATCTCTCGATAATTATGTGTGTCACGGCAATATTATTATCTATTTTCTTTAATCAGATAATAACAAACCACTTTTCCTTAACCTGAGACTAAGCATCAAAAGTTTCGTTTAATTAAACCAACGTCAAATCGCACAAGATTTATATAATATATAGTTTACAACCATGCACTATTTTAAGAAAATAATTGTGCTGTCAACCAAATGACTTTCCACTATTTGAAGGATGTTGGAAGGAGATTTATTTTACGTAGCATCCTTGAAGTTTCTTGGCACCCAAGAAAATAATTAAGCAGTCAACTAGATTTAGACAACCCACCAAATTAAATGACACTCTAGTGCAAGATGTTATAACCGACTTAATTACTATATATGTATATATATGCACGCACGCATACATAGTTCAAGAGGATTTGATATGAGCTAGACCTGAATATACATATACATATATATATAATATAGTATAATATAACTTCCGAACCTATACCTTTCTATTCCCACTGGACCGGACGGTAGTTGTCTTGAAAATCATTAAACATATATATATATATATATATATATATATATATATAATTTATAACTTCCGAACCTAGCTATATATACCTTTCTGTATCATTCAGTATCAGAGATTACCAAGTATATACCAACTTTCACCTAATCTGTTATTATAAGGCTTTGAGGTTTTCTTAGCCTCTAAGAGGGAGACCAGTCTTTGAATTTGCTTTAAATATTGCAAATGAATCACATCGCATCTATTAATATTGATAACAAGGTAGTTGTTTTGTGACACTTCATATAAACCCTAAAATCGATTTAATCACATTGAATCGCTGTCCCCTCCCTCTGCGGTTGCTGCCTTTTGGTTTTGGACACATAACTCTAGCAAACTGCCCTCATTTGAGTAAAGTTTCGTTATCTGTTCTTTTACATGCTGTGAAACAATTATAGTTTTAATTAGTTATTTATTTGTTTTTGTTTAATAGTTGTTTAATTCAATCAAATTTTTGGAAATTAAGTAATTTAACAGATGAATTAAGGAGATCTGATCATATATATAAATATATATATATATCTGTCTTGTCTCCTTTTGTGATCAGCTGGAATTAATTAGTCGGATTTCAGTGGACTCCTCTATGGTTGCCCCTAAGACTTTTGTTCTGAAACTGTACTGTACATGCATTGGATGTAAGAAAGAGGTTCGGAAAGTGCTGCAAAATTATCCAGGACTAAAGCATTCAAGTGAAATAGATGAAAATGAAGGGAAGTTGACCATCTCAGGTACCGCTGACCCACACGCACCCATCTATAGCAGCAATATTCAAGAAGTCTGGAAAGAAAGTGGAGCTGCAGACCATGCACATTGTACCAGTAAAACGAGCTGTTAAAGGAGTTCATGACCACCCACATCAAGGGTCCAAACTGTAAGAATTTTTTGTTTTTATTTTTTTATTTTTTAATCTTGAAAACTGAAACATATCATAAGTCAGTCTAGGAAATACAAATTAGACTAACCTTAATTAGTTAAACAATATTTATGCATGCATTTTAAAAAGGCCAAAACACAATCATCTTGTTCGTTTGATATTCCTCTTTTGTTAACTAGCTAGCTAGTAGTTGTTTAAAAGTTCTTTCTTTCTCCAAGGTGCCCTTTATTTAATTTTTTTTTAGAGGTTTACTTCCAAAAATTATAAGATTGCTCCGCTACCAGGAATTTTCCAAGTAATTGTCTGACATGCATATGGGATGAGGACTACAATTGGGTTGTCGGTGGTGAGTTCGGTGAGGATGAATTCATAGCAGCAATATTTAATTAAGAAGTCTGGAAAGAAAGTGGAGCTGCAGACCATGCAAATTGTACCAGTAAAACCAGCTGTTAAAGGAGTTCATAACCACCCACATCAAGGGTCCAAACTGTAAGAATTTTTTGTTTTTTATTTTTATTATTTTTATTTTTTATCTTGAAAACTGAAACATATCATAAGTATGCCTACGAAATACATTTCATATATGGATGAATTAAACTAACCTTAATTCGTTTAACAATTATGCATGCATTTTAAAAAGGCCAAAACACAATCATCTTGTTCGTTTGATATTCTTCTTTTTTTAACTAGCTAGTATATAGTTGTTAAAAAGGAGTTCTTCCTCCAAGGTGCCCTTTATTTAATTTGTTCGAAGAGGTTTACTTCCAAAAAATTTAAGATTACTCCGCTACCAGGATTTTTCCAAGTAATTGTTCGGTATGTATATAGGATGAGGACTACATGTGTATGGTGGTGGATTATTGGATATTCTAAGAGCCCAACATCATTAGAGTCAAAGAAAACCACTTATTCCAAATATTTGATGTCCATCCAAATATTTGATGTCCATTCAATTTTCAGCCGCCCTCACTAACATTCTTTACAAAATTATCTATAATTTTTTTTAAAATGTCCCTACTTTTTTGTGAAAATATTAAATATGTCTCACTAAATTTCTAATGATACCCCTATACACTATTATTGTTCAAAGTTGCCTCCTCTCATACAAATCTCTGGGTCCGTCACTATATACATAGAAGTCTATCTAGATCTTAGCTTATATGCAAAAGTTTTATTTTCCTCTAATTAAATTTCCTCGCACATGAAAATTAAATGCTTAAAGTCTGCATGATTATTGATCCAACACTTCCTTTCTGTTCTCTTGATTTCAGGGAAGGAATTGTTGATCAGGGTGCTCTCACCATGACTAGTACTGCTAAGAAAAATCAAACTGGCCACAAGCACGATTTCGAGTTGATCAAAAGCTATAACAAACCGTTCACTTGTGCTGAATGCAAGGAGGAAGGCTTTGGACCTAGATACAGATGTAACCACTTTGATCGATCACGAGCTCCATGAGAAATGCAGGTCCCCCAAACCTGAAATTTCCCATGAATTTGTCAGAGGATCCACTCTGAAATTCCTTGATCATGAAGTTCCTAGGAAACAGTCCACGAAATGTTGCATTGCTTGTGGGAGGAACATATGTGGCTCTTTCTACCACGACAAAGCAAAGGGATGGAGCTTGCACCCTTGTTGTTGCAACCTCGAAAGTAAACTATGCATCGATGGTGTGAATTTCGAGCTTCATGACAAGGTGTTATCAAAGTGCATGTGGTGCAACAAGAAAGACCACAAAACTAACATTCCGGGCTGGTCTTACGTTTCTGCTTGTAAGAAGTATCACTTTCACGTACACTGTGTGACTGAAATGGTTCATGAGGCATGGAAGAAAGGGGTTATTGATAAGGTTGATTCCGTTGCATTAGAGGAGATGGATCTAAAACTCTTACGTAATTCGAACAAGTACGATGGTAAAGGTTTAAAGAATATTATATGGAAGACAGTGAAGATATTCCTCAAGACTATAGTTGGTATTCTTTTTGGGGATCCATCAGTGATTATTGCGTCTATGTTGGAAGAGTTAATCACAGACTAATGAGTCTTTGGCCGTTGTTCTGGTGACTCAATTATTTAGTAATTAATCTTAATGTTTGCCCATATATATATATATATATATATATATATATATATATATAGATAGCTTGGTTTCAGTTTTATTTTATTTATTTATTTATTTTCCTCTTTAGATTGAAAAATAGACTTTTTTTTTTTTTTTTTGTTAATATAATACTAAGAGTCTTCTGTTTTGTATGTATAATTGTACTGCAATTTTTATAATGGCTTTCTGTAACGGGTGGACGCTTGTCCATTTACCTAAAAGCTTAAACTATTGGGTAGTGCTGTATATCCACCCATTTATACCCCAATCACTTTCCCATCCAGATTTGATGTGGGACAAATGACCTTTGTTACATTCTCCCCCACCCAAACTCGCAAAACCCGGAAGCCTTTGGAGTTGGATGCTTGCCGTGACACTGGATCAAGGGTTGAGCCTAACTCTGATACCAACTGTAACGAGTGGGCGCTTGCCATTTACCAAAAAACTCAAGCTATGCATACTGTAATACCCCTAATTTTAAAAGGATAGTTTCGGTATTTATTTATTTGTTTTAATTATATTTTTTAATTATTTAATTGATTATTTGACTAATTGTTTATGTGTATAATTAAATTAAGTGTTATTTGGTTATTTGGATTATGTGTTTATGTGTTATTTGTATTTGTCTATACGTTAGTTGTTTAATTAGATTATGTGTTTAAATGGTGTTTTGATTAATTGTAAATTAAATATTTTATTTTATTTTTTATTTTATAATGTTTTATTTTCTTTTATGGTCATGGTTATGGTTATGGTTAGTAATAATGGGCCAACCAATTAGGTTACATGGACTATTTGGATAGGAAGTTGGATGGGTATGGATTATTATCCATGGATAGTTGTGTATGTATATATATAGATATATATTATATACATATATAAAAAGGGAAGGTAATTTATATATTACTTTTATGGTAATTGGGGTATTAATAGTTAATTTGATTTATATTTTTATATATTTATATAATAAAGATACATAGATTTTATACGTATCATGTTTTGAGTTACCTTTTACTATTATGGTAATTTAGGTATTATTAGAAAATCTGTTAATAAATAATGGAATGTGTATAATTCATTTATTTATTAATGAGATACATAAATTATATACGTAACATATTGTACGTTACCTTTTTATTATTTAGTTATTTTATTTTCTTTATTGTGTTGACTTGGAATGAAATAAGGATTAGGGTTAGTTTTCTTTAGCCTATTTATACATAAGTATAAGTCTGTAGGAGGCTTCAAAATTATATCACGTAATGTATTTTAGAGAGAGAGTTAGAGAGAGAAGGAGGAAAAGGAAGGAAGGAGGAGAGAACCCTTTGGAGAAGAAGATCAAGAAGAAGTTTAACTTTTGATCCGAAAATTTAAGACAAGTTATTCTTCTATCTCCATTCCTTTGATTCGTATTTTTGTACATGTCTAGAAAATTTCAGGATTTATTAAACACATAAAATGAAATAATTATGTATGTTTAATTGGATTAGAACATAGGTTTTATGAAATTGGTTCATATCTGTTCTTGTGTTGTGAATTGATAAATTCATAATTTTGATTTGATTTATTGTATAAATTTTTACATGTTTAAATTATGTATTTTTTTTTTCATATCTGTATATGGATGGAACGTAGAAACATGCCTAGGATTTCTGAAACAAATAAGGATTTAGTGCATAGTTTAAATTCTGGGTTATTCACGTAACAATGTTGAATCGCTATTACAGTGCTCGAGCATTTGATTGTGAAGCTCGAAAATTAGGATAAAAAGCTCGAGCATTTGGTAGTAAAGCTCGAGCCTCAGGATGGAAAAGCTCGAGCACTTGGTTGTGATGCTCGAGCAATTAGTTGTGATGTTCGAGCAATTGGTTGTGATGCTCGAGTATTTGGGGAGGTAAAGCTCGAGCCTGCAGTAGGATGCTCGAGCCTTACCTGGTGAAGTCTCGGAAACAACGTTGTTTTATTTAAAAATTGAAATTATGGAGTTCTAATCATCAAATAAGGACTAGGGATGATTTAATTAACTTTTAAACAAAGTATGAAGAATGCTTAAGTGATTGTATAGAAAAATATATTAATCAGTTTAAGATTTTGTATGTATAGGATATGTGATATAGGAAACTTAAATAAACTATGAGTTGACCTATCTTGTGTTAGCATAATATAATTTTAATATTATGTTTAACTTTGGATTTTTAAATATACTTCTGAATTTGTTACATCAATGGTTGGATTGTGTGGATTTAGTGCACCAGTATGGGATGGTGGCACTATATGGATGGATTAACTTATTAGTTAAGTCCTACCTATTTCATATAAGGGAACGGATTAACTAAAATATTAAGTCCTACTTATATTTGTATCAGGTCAACTAAATAAGTTGAATGACTAACTGGATTATTGGATACTTTTACCTATGTCGTGTCAAGGCAACGAACAGTTGAGCGGCACTACTATGGTTTTTGGATGGATTTTAAATATACAATTATGGTACCACGATATAAGCTTGAGTTTCAGAGTCGATGGTTAGGGAGCGTATATGCAGTAGGATGTATAGCTGGCTACGATGGTTTGAGGTGTACCCTGTTTAGGTATAGGTACACATGCCCACATCGAGTGCGTTTTGTATGTTGCTTGTATTCAGGTTGAGGCTGGTCTATCGTCTAGTGAGAGTCCTTTAGTGTGTATTTAGATATATATACGGACTATTAGTTATTGTTGGATTGACTAGAATGTATACGTGTATCGAATCTCTACTTGGACTGTAGTAGAGTAGAACTTGCTTGTGGGCCTGACCCACCATTATTTTTCAGGTGTCCATCAGGAGTAGAGGTTGTTCGTGCTGAGCAGGGATCAGTCTACTTCACTCTTCCGGAGTTTCTATATAGGAGTTTGGTTTATGTTTCAGCTTTCAGTTTGGTTTTTAAGGGTCCACATAGCATGAATTCCCGAGTTGTAATTATGGAGGATCAATTGTATCATAATGTTCTATTATTAATAAGAATTTATTCTGAGGTTTATTATTGGATTATCATTTTAGTTTCTTTTCAGCATTTTATTTATTCTTCTTTATTCTTTTGCACTCTGTGTTTATTTATTACCGATCTGTTTTTGATATACCTGGGTGTTCGGGCGTGGGCCTGGCAAACCTGCATTCGGAAATCTGGGGGTATCACACATACTCACTCATTTATTTGTTATGAATTAGAAAGAAAAAAAAAAAAATTATTCACTTGACAACAATAGTGATTCAATCATAAACCTGTCGCTTCAATTTTATTGCATATTATTTATAGACACATTTTAACAATATATATTAAACTTGTACCAAAAAATTTCTTACAATGATTTTATGTTATTTTAAAATTTTAATTTTACATTACTAGTTTGGCCCACCAATTAAAAATTCCTGGGTCCACCCCTGTTTGTATGCATTTGGCATTGGCGTCCACAGTGGTGGAGTTTTATTTTTGTTTTACTAAGGGTCATTTAGATCAAATAAAAGGACCTATAAATGTTAATATTGTACTTTAATAATTTAAATGGGTCAATTCACAAGTTAAAGGGCAATTAGGTACTCTTATCATGGTTGGAGTGTTGTTGTTCAAGTTTTCAAGCTTAAAGGGGCAATTGAATCACACTCTCTCTAAGTTGTATTTACCTGTCCTTATTGCAAACTTGAGGGGGGTGTAAGTGCAAATTACCCATAATATTAAAGATTAGAAATGAGGAGAGGAAATCTAAAATGACCGTTTTGTCATTTAAAAAGTATAATTATTTACTTGTAAAGTTAGGGTTAGAATTGCCATTTCATTTAATAATTGTAGTGCAAACGTTAAAAAGTGAAGTGCATATCACCTCCTTATATATATTATATGAAATCATCTATTAAGTTTTTTATAGAATAAAAAATTAAATGAATAAATCAGGTCTGTCTTATTGTGAAATACAGATGTAAACATAGGTTTTTTTCAATCCATAGTATTACATACACGAGAAGTCCATGATGCAGAGAAAATTTTAGAGAGAGATAGTGGGAGAGAGAGAATTTGAAATCGTGTGAGAGAATTTTAGAAAGGAAGAGGTGAATTTTAGTCGAATAGAGGTTGTAAAATTGGGTCTCTTATATAATAGGTAAAATATGAGTGACCCATATTCAACCCATTTAATCATTTATAAAAATAGGTTAAATATGGGTCACCCATTTGACCCATATTTTAAAATGATTCACCCATATCTATTTTAAAATAAGCGAATATGAATAGGTTGGTGGGTCATGACCCATTTTGCCACCCCTACATTACACACACACACACACACACGACAGTACTAGGGAAAAGCCTTTCAACCATGGCCCATGTATTGCCAAACACTCTATGAGCTGCCGTTAACCTACCCACTTCTTCTTCACTAAAAGATTACTCCTTAGTTTTTGATACCATCTATACAACAAAATGGACCAGATCGAAGCTGGGGAAACCACCTTTTGATTCTTCAATTCATTTCTTGCCATCAACTGCAAAGGAATATTCTTGTACATGTTGAAAGAATCAACTGTAACTAAAATTTTTGGATAGTTATCTTATACTCAACTATGAAACCTACACCCCCATCACCAAACTCCATTGCTGGCCGCTTAATCATCTGAAACCTCAATTCCTTCCACCATACAGTACAAAATCACAACATTACACAACTCCTGCTAAAATGCATCATAAATTACCCTCCCACATTACAAAACTGGTTAATGTTTCATCACACCTTACTCATGGAAAAAATCTCACTCCTCCCAAATTAACTGTAGCACCCAAACCCCTAATACCACTCAAGAGATCAGCTTGTAACTACACAGATCACCCTTCTTTACCTCGATCACTTTCAGTTACAGGGGCTACTAAGGAGAAAGTAAGGCGTGCACTGCAGAATGATAGGGTCTG